GCTGCACGCGTCAAACGAGGCGTGTGCCGATCTCTCGATGCACTCACACACGCGAATCGAACGTGTGTATTCTATATTACTTGTACACGTGTAGCACATTATGCTTACGTCTTGTACAGCCGAGCATTACGTAAGCTCCGAGACTTTCGCAGGCCGAAACGGCCGTTTAATAAAACGCGCGCCGCGCACGAGGGAAGCGTATGCGCGAATACGGCACATCATCGTTGTTGCTGCAGAGCGGCTCGCTAGCCTTTTTCCTGACGCCGCCGACGCCGACGCGCCTTGGGTGTGCCGAGAGAGCTTGGCGATGAGCGCGAGAGCGAGCCGAGCTTATCGGCCATTCGGTCGAATTGTTACACGACGAGTTATACCATGAGAAAGCATAGAGAGGATTTTCGTGCCTCGAGTTGTGCTGGCGCACTATACAACTACTACTCCTATGGCGAATCGCACGCCAAGTTCCATTATTAAGTTATAACTCGGAAAGTAGTTTGTTCGCCAACTGCTGGTGCTGCTGCTGCTGCTGCTGCGACCCCATCGAACTGCGCCGATTCGACATTATGATTTTGCGAAATTTTGCTCGCGCGCGCGATTCGCTAGTCATCTCTCGTGCTTCTCGCATCCTATGCTGTAGTACTTCGAGTGAGACGTAAATTGGGAACGTGCGAAATCGTGTAATAATTTGCCCCCAATGCGCTACAACTGCTACACGAGTGTACCCGGGCTCGCGGTAATTATCCATAAAGGATTGAGCTGTCAATTCGAATTTTTACTGCTCAGCTCCTAATACGCGTTCTGTGTATATAAACATGCAAAAATTATGTCCGTCGCGCGGGTTGCTTAACTTACACACTAGCCATGGTATATACTCGTTTTTCACTTGATCGCGAAAAACACATTTCATTACTCCGCGGCCAGCCCCGCGCGACTGTTGCTCTAATTATTTAAGCAATATAATATTTTGCTCGTCGTCGTAGCTGGACACGAGGTCGAAAATAAAAATAGAGTGATTTTTAGTCTCTCTGGAGCTAATTGTGAAATGTGTTTGCAGCGTGTGTCTACGGAGCTAGCGAATTCGTTGGGAAACTCGAGCGTGTATAAGGTTGAGTTTCCAATTCCTAAACGCATTTCGTGACACTGAAAACACTACTACTGCTACAGCTGCGTCGTCGCGTCGTACGCGAGCCGTTTACCTTTATGTCTGCGCGCAGCAACAGTTGGAATCGCGACCTGTGCATTTTATATCGGTATCGCGTGTGTCGTAATAACGAATCGCCTTTCGAAATTTTCATACATCGTAGAACATATATGTTTACGTACATTATTATTAAGTATTATATATAGGTTTGAGTATACGATATGATGATATAGGTGCTGCCGACGATAATCGACTGATAATCGATGCGCTCGATTTATTAAATTTGCGCAACGACGTCCACCAACTCGTCGAGCGATCCTCTTTCCGCCCTCGCTCGCTGACTTAAGCCTGCGCCTGCCTGAAATTCACTGAAATGTGAAGCGGCGGCATTCGCAGCATTGCCTGCAGTGCGCGCGGGTGCCGTCAGGCGTGACGAGGAATGCCTGGTGCGCCGCTGCCGCCGCTCGTTTAATGGCCAGGCTCATTTTTCATCGTCAATTTTTATCGAATTTCGCTACGGAAACACACAGTCGGTATTATAAATTCACAGGGATTCGCGATATGATAATAATAATTTTTGCCCGACTCTCGGAGCGACCGAGGCCCCGCGCGCGAATCATTGTAATTAATTATATTATCGTAATGCGCGTACGACTGCCCCCCGCGTGTCGTAGCAGTGCTCGGGATTTCTAATTTATTGCAAAAGCAGCTGCCCGTGCACCATTGCTGCTGTTCAAAGAGAAAAGCGGAAAAGTCGAGCGATGCCAATCACAAGGCCCTAAAACCTCCTCGAAGGAGATTAATCCGCATCGCCGTCGCGTCGTCATCGTAATAGTTTTGCGCGCCTGTATTAATTAAACGCGTGCCAGTGATATATTTCATCTGGACCACAGATTGACAAATTGATACGCTAGTATATGTACCTTAAAAATATTCACTGGAATATTGTAACAGCTCTCGTCGGTGCCGAGCGACGCATCGAAGAGTGACTAAGCGTTTCTGTCTTATCTAGCCGTGCATATCATTACGTGCACACATGTATATTCGTGTTACATATATAAATGTAACATGTGTGTGTACGTCTGCGTGCATAATAATATAAAACATATTCGCTGCGGCGGCGTCACTTATATTCATAAAGGCGAATGCCGGAAATCGGTGCACACACACACACACGTGCTGTGCGTACGTATAAGCGGCTTTCTGCCGGCGATTTTTTGTCACTTCCGAAAATAATGGCTTTCACTTTCGCTGTAACGATACATGCATACATATCGGTGCAGCACTTGCTCTTTGGACAACCTACTCTATATATCGCATTGTGCGCGATATCATCGGCGTCGATGATACAGAACAAAAAAAATGATAACTGCGTCCATCCTCCGACTTACACTCACACAACACAACACCCTCGACCTCTTTTTCTTCTTCTTTAGCTGCAGCTTGTGTATAAGCAGCTCTTATATATACTTTTCACACCCTCTTGCATTCTCTCGACGATGCTATATCGGACCTGAGAAGCTTGTGTCCGGGCGCGTGAAAGACGATCATGATTTTAATTGTCCCTAATGACAGTCGAGAGGGTGACTCTCTGCACGATCGAAGCTGCGCTGCGAACCTGTACTTATCTCGACGGGTATATATCTACCCTATACCCTATAACGATGGGAAGATTTTTTTTAAACTTCGTCGACGTCGTCGTCTTGGTTACGTAATGGAAAAACTGTGACCCACATAGATACCTAACATAATTACATATTTATCTTTCTCGAGGGCAGGAGAGAAATAAAACACCATCGGTCACGATATAATCGCATTATAATTCTTTAAATCCTTCGATACATAGGCAGCTGGCTAGAACTACCTATTATGTTTCTTGACCCTGGCTCGACTGGTACTGTTTTTTTTATTCCTTCTCTCTCCGCTTCGAATGTGTATCATCTCGCGTAATCGCGCGCCATACTCTAAAGGAGCGAGATTGGCAGCAGCAACATGTATTGCATCACACACAGCACAGCATAGTGTGCAGCGCAAAATTCGTCGAGAGCCGCGCGCGCGATGAAACTCGAATTAAGTAAAACTCGCAATTCCAGATACAGAGCAGCAGTACTAGCCTGTAGAGAGGATTGAGGTAATATATAAGTAACGAGTACAACATATAGCGCGCACGCACCTCGAGCCGTACCGATCGCGCGACAGGCTATCTATTTAGAAAAGAATTTAGGTCTTTTAAGGCCATTCGGTGACCCAACTTTGTGTGTGCAGCAATTTTTTTTCTCTCTTTCTGCGGCGTTTTTTTTGTGTGCAGCGCCAAACATGGAGCTCTCGGACTCGAGAGCTCGAGCGATCGTTCGATACACTATATATGCGCGCGCGGTAACAACGACGAGCAGCAGCAAGTCAGGGAGAGAGAGAGAGAGAAACAGCTTCTTGCCTGGGCTACTATGCAGCTAATCCCAGCCAGCCGCGAGTGCTCGACTTTTATGACGCGTAATTGCCCGAAAAATTCAGTCGCCGATGACAATACTTGCAGCAGCAGCCGCCGCCGCCGCCGCCGTGAGATGAATTGCCAATGAAGCAATTGGTGGGCTTACGTCAAGCGACTACTGCTGCCCCGGACGATTTTCTATTTTTCCGCCGCACACACATACAGGTGTATTATAAGCCTTAAATACGATTGGGCAATCTTATATGAGCCGCTCGTGCGACCGATTATCGATAATTTTTCGCCCCACAGCTCTAGCTCTCCTGCTGCTGCCTATGCGCCGTTGTGTGTGTGTGCATAGTTTTGTAAATGCTCGCGCCCGGGCAATTATTATATTATTTTAAGCGATGGTGGAATTTGACGAAAGAATTCAGGCGATATAACGGCGCGCGAGGCAGAAAAAAAAAGAAACGCGAAGCGAGAGAGAGAAAAGAAACATCGCTACACTGCAGTTAATAAACTTTCCCACGCGATTTTCAAATCAAGATTCGCACTTTTAAGTTTCGGGGTAAAGCTCCTCGATAAAATCACGGCGACTATACGACGAGCAGCGACTAGCTTTACGCCTACAGCCGTAAAGTTCGGGCACTTAGCATAATCTCTTTTCTTCTGCCCCGGCTTCTTTTCTTTACAATATATAACGAGTTTACAATCCCTCTTCGGACTCTCGCGCGCCTGGCCAAAACTGTTGAATAGAAAACAAGAACAATAACAACAACAACAACAACAACAACAACGACCAGCCAACAATGGCACTTGATCAGCATCTCGCTTGCCTTGTACACTAAAACTAAGGCCTATAACGACGAAAAAAAATCATTGTCAGTAATAAGTAAAATAAAACGCGCGAATCCCCGTAAGTGATAAAACGTCGGAGCGACGATCGTCGTAATACACGTATATTATATCTTAATTACGGAAGAGACTGCGGCGTTGCGTGCCAATGCGTAAGAAATGAAAAACTTTGCGTCAGATTTTCGTCAAAACTCGCGCGTCGATTTTTCAAAAAAAACATCGATGCAGCAGAAAAAAAGGATAAGCGAAGGCTATTAAGAGCTGCGAGCGAAGGAGGGGTTAGTACAGTACAGACCATGGGCTTTGTACGTATATTACGCGGGACGAAGAGGAAGGCACGAGGCGATCGTGTGCTTTAAACACATGGTTCGCTCTCGCTCGGTCTAACGCTCGTTCGGATCTGTCTGGCTCTTTCTAACGTCGTGTAGCAGCCGGGCGGCGGCGGGAGTCTTTGGATTTTTCGAAAGGATGGCGAGATCGTGGTAGAAGCCCCCGACCGAGCGTCGATCCGTCCCCGTCGACGACGAGTGACTTAGGAGGTATATAAGGCCCGGCCGACCCGGCCCAACTCAGTCATTCACCGGACTACACACAGCCCACCATACACAAACCAAACATGAAGGCCTTTGTGAGTATCTCTCTGGCTCTCTTCTACCTACTTCTACTTCTTCTACTACTACTTGCTTCTATTACTTTTATCTAGTTCTACTTCGTTTCTACTTGTTCGTCAGTGCGCGAAACATATATCCTGTATACGGTACTGTGCGAAAAAGAAAAACAGAGAGAGAGAAAAAAAAAAGTTTTTTAACGAGCGAGTAACGTGTTGCACGTGATCAAGTATAAAGAACAGAAAAAAGAAATATAAATAAAATAAACAGTGTAGTTGCGCATTTTTCATTCGCGGATTGATATATTGACGAGAGAAAATCCTGTACCCGATGAGAGTGAGAATTATTATTACACACACACCGGCATCTGTACATTTTTATATACTTTGATATAATAAATGTTCGTGTGCCATCGGTATAAAGCTGCTGCGGCGCATTGCATAACGACGCGGGGTAGCCGGGAGATAGCGAGAGTTTTTTTTTCTGCGATACTGTCTATTACTCGCGTGCTAGAAAACGTATAATGTATTAAACGGCGCTTTCGCCTTTGCATGTTACTTACTTTCTTCTGGATGTGTGTTAACTTAATTTGGATCTTTTAACATATATGCATTTCCTTCTCGTGTTAATTATTTTTCAATATTCCCCGAGGAGTAACGTTCGATAATCTTTAAAATTAGACGCATGGAATGGATAAAAATTAATATCAATAAAAATTTTATCTCTGAATATTAAAAATCGTTTATTTTAAATAATTCAAAAATGATTAAATTTTCAAATTTCAATATCAAAACTCACTCATTTAAAGTAACTCCGACATAACTTACTTTCAAATTTTATTTTAGCAAATGATACTTTAAACTCTCATTTCACTTTAAAAGTACGATCAAAAGAAATTGAGTCTAAATTTTAAAAATTAGAAAATCGTAACAAAATTGCCTGAACTAGTATCATTTCTCTTCAACAATTAAACATAATTCATAGAATTTTGCGAGTCGCAGCAATAATTACTTTGAAAAAAAAAAAAAAATCGGTTAGTGCGGAAGTGTTTTGCGTAATAAAGAAGGGTATAACGAGAGATAAAAAAAAAATAATTCCGTTATGTGTAACACGCGCACACGTGAAAGTCCGAGAGTCCGCAAAATTATGAGTGAACGAGAATACCACAGCTCGCATAATTTTCGTTCGCGGGCTTATATTGCATATACATATAATATTAGTTTCCGCGCTGCAGTTTCCGCGAGCGGCAGTAAGTAAGTAGTATACGCAGAAATTGATTTCTAATCCAACCGCGCGCACCGCACGAGACTGGATGACGGCGGCGGCGTCGGAGGCGAGCCGGACTTTCTCCCTATCTCTCACGTGCAACACGAGGCAGTGCAGATCTCGATCTCTCTCTTTCTCTCTCTCTCTCTCATATTTCGCAATATCTGATGAACGATTTTTTTTCGTTGTTGCTGTACTTGTATTTCGAAAAAGGGGATTAATTATGAATCCAGCCGCGCTTCTCTTTCAGGTAAAGGCAAGTACCGGGGGGCCCTAAAAAGGATAGAACGACTACTCGCGCGTATGTAGGCGAAAAATCCTCTCCTCTCGGCTCGCAATCACTCCAATTACGAAACGTTACGCACGCGTTTGCGCGAGAATGTCGCTTTTATATACGGCACTCGGGGTTTAGTTTAGTTGCTGCTTTACGGAGAGAGAGAGAGAGCCCCGCCGTTTTATGACATAACGATCCTTTTTCACGTCGATTTATGCGCGAGCTCCGAGAGATATACCGGACTCATTGTGTGTACGCCTGCGTGTGCACCGCCGCTGAAAGTGAAAGCACTGCAGTACCGCCGCTGCTAAACTCTCTAACGGCACTCGATATTTATAATACGCGCGCGCGCTATAATACAACATCGCTTTGACTCTCGTTTTCAGCTGCTGCTGCTGCTGCTGAGCCTCGAGCAGATAGATAATAATGCCTCTCTCTCTTTTATTTCTGCATACAGATTGCGTTCGCTTGCCTCGCCATCGCGACGGCCAATGCTGGAATCGCCCATGGTGGCTACGGTGGCTATCACGGACACCACGGACACGGTGGCGCCGGCCTGAGCGGAGGTCTCGCCGCCGGAGCGGGCACGGCCCACGCCCTCCAGCAGGGCGCCTCGAGTCTGGGCTCGGGTGGTCTCGGCGCCAACTACGCCGCCGGAGCCGCTTCCGCGGCGGGACACGCCGGCGTGCAGCAGATCGTCTCGGGTGGCGTGCTCGGCGGCAGGGCCGACATCGGACCCGCCGAGGGACCCAAGGCCAACGTCGGACCCCAGAGCGGCCCGAGCGACCTCGTGGGACCCCAGGAGGGCGCCAAGTCCATCGGTGGACCCCGTACCGGACCGGCTAGTCTCGTAGGACCCGCCGCCGGACCCTCGACGCTCGTCGGACCCAGCCAGGGTACCGCCACCCTCGTAGGACCCAGCCAGGCCACCGCTAACCTCGTCGGACCCAGCTACGGTGGTGTCGCCTTCTACGCCGGTTCCGGTGGAATCAACGGTGACGACGGTAGCTCTGGCTCCGCCGCCGCTGCCGCCCCAGGCGGTCTCGGACACGGTAAGTTCGCCCCGTCCTCTTCTCGGACTTTGACGGAGGATTGATGCAATTTTTTGCTCAATGTAGGATACGGTGCCGGTGCCATCGCCGTGATAGGAGGTGGCCCAGGAATCCACGGTGGAATCGGCGGCCATGACGCCGGTGTCGCCGTGATCAACGGACCCAGCGGCGCCATCCACGCCGGTCTCGGCTCCCACGGAGCCATCATCCCCGGCCCGATCCACGGCAAGTGGTAGACACGCTGCTGCTCCTTGATCACCATCACGGACGCGCGACGACACCTACCAATTGCGAGAGATCTCTACTCGGCTCGGCGACGGCGGCAACAACGACCCCCAACCACAAGCATAACGCTCTTATTATAAACATTATACTGGTCAAGAAACCGATTTTCTAGCGCGTTCTTATTCTAATATGCTCTAGCTCATGCTCCTATCTTGTCATCTTTCTCTCGTCTCTGTGGTTTTTCTCTCTGTATCTCTGTCTATTTCTCTCTCTCTCTTTCTTTCTCTCTCGATCTGTCTCACTCTACTTCTGTATCTCTATTTTTTCTTCTCTTTGCTCTCTATCTCTCGTTCTTTTTTTCTACTCCGAAGCTTCTATCGATCGAGATCAATTGAATTAAAAAGGAGAGACTCTGTATCGCATTTATACGTGAGATTACAACAGAGACGCGCGCCTGCAGACGCTTGCTCCGCACGGCGTCTTTCTTTTTACGTTTTTTTCGTTCTTACCCCCCTCCCAACACACCCCCGTGTTCTTAGTCAATTCGCGAGAAATTAGTCTACTTGTAACTGTTTTTTTTTTTGTTTCTTCACGAATAAATAACGCACACTCTGGTCTTTTAAAAAGCGAGTGTTGAAGTGTCGGAGGAGGAGAGATCGGAGGAGGCACGAGCCCGCAAGATGATACATTAAATATCGTTAAATAAGCTAGACGAGTGAGTCACTTTTATTTTTCGTTGATAATTATACGAAATCCACCTATTTTCTTCTCTCTTTTGTTTGATGATTAGCGGACTACCACAATTTACTTTTCTTTTATACAAAGGGTCTTCTTGCTGCTCGAGTTTTATCGAGCGGCAGCCAGTCCACCCGTCTCTATTCTCGTGATTAATCTCGGAGCCAAAGCTCGACTTTCGCACACAAGTAATGAATTTTTTGTCTCTAGTACCATTGTTGATGATTTACTTTTTTTTCCTTAGTTGCACACAAGCACACCAAATGTTGTAAACAACCACCACACATACATACATACACACACGTACTGTGGACATAACTCACGACATTGAAAATACTCAGAAAGGCAATGTATGTTACACACATCGAATATATGTGCCACGCACACGCACAACCACTGTGAACCTTCTTTTTTCTCTATACATCTGTTCTGATTGAAATTTTACCTGTCTCTCTTTGTACTTCGTGTCTGCCCACTTTTTTTATACATTTACAAATGTTCTGTATGCAGGTAAACTTACTATAATGCCAATACATGTGTATACTCGTTTTTATATACGTATGAAGATATATGTGTCCTGATGCATATATATGAAAGTGTTATATATTTACACGTATGTATATTTAAATATATACATATAACTTAGTGAAGAGAATCGGTTGAAGATTTTTTTTATATGACTGCGGTGTGAGCCGTTGATGCCGTGAGTGAAATGATAAAAAAGATATATAAATGTACATAGATGCCGCCGCCGGCCACCCACTCCCCTGCAAGTCCCCAAAATACGTCCTTGTCATCTTCCCCCCGCTGACCGCCCCCTTGCTCTGTCAATTGCGATCACTGATTAGCACTGCCCCTACAACAACACCGACAAGATCAACTATAAATAGATGCCACGTATATTTATAGCGTTTATACATTTATACAGTACTTTATATAAAAATAAAGCATCAGTATTTAAAACATTAACTCGACTTTATGATTTTATTATTTTTATTCCTTTACCAAATACAATCTATGCCATTTCGAAAACAATAATTCAATTTCACGATTTAAAAAGAAACACTTAAAGTCTATGTTGTATCAAAAAAGCATGATTTTGATTAATTTTTTTCTTAGCTTTCCGATGTGCGATTCTTCGAAGAAATCATCATCAAGTTAGTATTTTAAACTGATTCAAATATTTTAAGGACAACGTTTAAACCGATAAATCGGTATCATAATTGTAAACAATATGATTACAAATGATTTTCACATGTTTCCTTGAACACTGAGAACATATTAGAGTAAAAACAAACTAAATCAAGTATTGTCTTTCCCGATGAAACAAGCCATAATACCAAAAGATAAATTTTACTAATTTGATTTCTGAGGTACTAAATAGAAAGATTCATCGTTTAATTTAAACTGCAAATTGTCTATCATACATGAGTATAAGAATCTATTTATTTGATATTTTTTCGTGTGAACTGATGTTATCTGTCGGAGTTTGTTAGGAAGTACTTGGTTTTTGAAGGCCAAATAAATTCCTCAGAGATATCGTCGCCAATTTTTAATTTTAAGCCGATTCGAATATTTTATTATATAAACAGATACATCGGCAACTTAATAGTAAACAATAAGATTATAAACGATGTTAACACTTTTCTCGACGCCCTGATCATGTTTATATTAAAAACAAATTAGTTTGAATGTTGTCTTTCAAGCCATAATACCATAAGATAAATTTTACTCATTCAATTTCCGTGACACTAAATAAAAAGTTCCATCGTTTAATTTAAACAACAAAAATGGATAAAAGTGAAAAGAAGTCGGATAAAGTTGTCTCAAATGATAATTCAAGTGAACGCGACGATGTTGTTTCAAACGACCAAAAATACGTATGTGATATTTGTCAGGAAGCATTTACACTAGAATCAAGCATGGTAGCACATCGAGACACAATTCACAATGAACAAAAAGATTACGCATGTGACAAGTGCGAGAAAAAATTTGAGTTCCGAAGTCATTTGAGTATGCACCAAATATTAGTGCAAAAATTTCACAATGATTTATCATGCGACCAGTGCAAAAAAAAATTTGTAAAAAAATCGAGTTTGTTTACGCACCAAAAAATAGCACATAAAGATCGTGAAGATTTCAGGTGCAACAAGTGTGAGAAAAAATTTGAAAATAAATCAACTTTACTCAAGCACAAAAGAATATTTCACGAAGTTTTCAAAGATTACTTATGTGAAAGGTGCGCCAAGAGATTTGGAAACAAACACAGTTTGGTCATGCACGTAAAAGCAGTCCACGAGGGTTGCAAAGATTTTGCGTGTGATTATTGCGAGAAGAAATTTGGAAGTAAATCAGATCTGTTGAGGCATCAAAGGACAGTACACGAAGGTCTCAAAGATTACGCATGCAACAAATGTGAGAAGGAATTTAAGCATAAACAATCACTGCTTTTTCACCAGAAGATAGGACACGAAAGTTGCAACGACCACATATGCCTCTACTGCGAGAAGAAATTTGGACAAAAATCAGATTTGTTGAAACACCAAAGGATTGTCCACGAGGGATTGAAAGATTTTGCATGTGACAAATGCGACAAGACATTTAGATTCAAAGGGGTTTTGCTTGTACATCAAAAAACAGTCCACGAAGGTCGGAAAGATTTCTCATGTGATAAGTGTGAGAAGAAATTTGCATATAAGTGTAATTTACTTGTGCACATAAAATCAGTCCACGAGGGTCAAAAAAATTTTGCATGTGACAGGTGCGATCGAAAATTCGGAGAGAAATGGATTTTATTGAATCATCAAATGACAGTCCACGATGGACGCAAAGATTACGCGTGTGACAAATGTGAAAAGAAATTTGGACAAAAACCGCATTTGCTCTGCCATCAAAGGACAGTTCACGAAGGTCGCAGAGATTTTACATGTGACAATTGCGAGAAGAAATTTGGACAAAAACAGCAATTGCTTCGACACCAAAGAGAAATACACGAAGGTGTCAAAGATTTCGCCTGTCACAAATGTGAAAAAAATTTTGGACGAAAATCTCATTTACTCAAGCACATAAGAACAATCCACGAGGGACGAAAAGATTTTGCATGTGATTATTGCGAGAAGAAATTTGGACAAAAATCAGATTTGGTGCTGCACCAAAGAACAATACACGAAGGTTACAAAGACTATGCTTGCGATAATTGCGAGAAGAAATTTGGACGAAAATCACATTTGTTCAAGCACCAAAGAACAGTACACGAAGGTCGCAAAGATTTCGAATGTGACAAGTGCGAGAAAAAATTTGGAGAAAAATCGACTATGCGCGTACACCATAAGACAGTACATGAGGGTCGCAAAGATTTTGCATGTAACAAATGCTCGAAAAAAATTGGACAAAAATCGCATTTGTTAACGCACATAGCTCATGGACATAAACAATCTTTGATCTACCACCAAAAAGTAATCCATAAAGGTCGCAAAGATTTAGCTTGAGACAAATGCAAGAAGAAATGATGATGGACAATTGTAAATATGGGGCGAATCACGATAGATTCCCCAGCGGTGTTCGCGAGTAAGCAAAACAGCTAAATCAGGTATTTTTGACTCGCTGTACGGACTTCATATGCTATTTTCAAAAAAACACAAGTAAGTAATTTCGATGGGTTTTTTCCTCAGCTTTCTAGTGGGGAGGTCAAAAATACAAAAATCAGCCTCCATAACCTCAAAAAATGGACTTGAACTTAAAACACGCTGTATCTTTTTTGCCTCCAGGTTTAGAGTTTTTCTGAGTAGCTAGATCGAAAAATCTCTCGATTTTACATAAGAAATGTCTAGGGCTGTGCGAGTACTCGAAAAAACTCGACTCGTCGAGTTCAAGTTTTTTCCTCGAGTTCGAGTTGAGTACTCGATTTTTTGAGCACTCGAGTTTTTTCGGGTACTCGCAATATATTTAAGTTTTTAGTAAATAAATGATAAATTAATAGTCTCTAGACCACCTCTCTTTGTGTGTATGTACATGCTTATAAGTGTGATATACGCAGCGGATTGGATTGGAAAAAGAAAATAATTTAATAGTACCGCGCTTCATCACACTTATAAGCACCTATACACAAAAGAAGGGGTCTAAACACTGTTAATTTATCATTTATTTACTTAAAACTTAAATTAACTTTCTCGAGCGGTGATGAGAGAAAGAGCGCGCGGTCGGTCGTTTTCGAGCACCGCGGCCTGTTTTTGCGCTACACTTTCTTTGTTTATCACGCGTTACGCTTTCGCCATAAAAATAAACAAATACATGTTATTTGTGTATTTTTTCCTCATCTTTTCAATGGTGCGATTAGTTTTTTGGAAAATTAGCTTTTTTGAACAGATAAATTAACTTTTTCTGATTAATAGTTTTATTATTTTCGTTCTATTCGCGAAACCAAACAACTTTTCCAAAATCTAATTACACCATTGAAAAGATGAAGAAAAAATACTCAAAAAATATGTATTTGTTTATTTTCATGGCGAAAGCCTAATACGTGGCCTTACAATAATTAAAGAAACGTGAAGTGTAGCGAAAAAACAGGCCACGGCGCTCGAAAACGGCCGACCGCGCTCTCTTTCTCTTGTCACCGCTCGAGAAAATCCAAAGTCCCTTTTTTTTAGAGTTTTTTCTTATGTAAAATCATGCGCGAGATCTTTCGATCTAGCTACTCAGAAAAACTCTAAACTTGGAGGCAAAAAAGATACAGCGTGTTTTAAGTTCAAGTCCATTTTTTTGAGGTTATGGAGGCTGATTTTTGCATTTTTGACCTCACCACTGGAAAGCTAAGGAAAAAACACATCAAAATCTTTTACCTGTGTATTTTTCTGAATAGCACATGAAGTCCGTACAGCGAGTCAAAAAATGCGTGATTTGGCTGTTTTGCGCATTCGCGCACACCCATGGGGCATCTATCGTGATTCGCCCCATATGTATAGATACTTATAGTAGGCTACTGGATTTTTTTATAAAACTCACTTCATGACATGCGAATCTGAATTTATTTAACATCCGCGTGAAAGATTTTGATAAATTTGCACATAGGCTAATAATTTCTATCAGGAGAGACATGGTCGATAATTACAATAGGTTTTTACTAAAAACCAAACCCAAAAGCCACTATTAAAACTTGTAGATGGGGGTAAATTTTATATTTGAATATATCTAATTTTGTTGTTTTTTCAAATAAATTTCAAAGGTAAATCATTACTGGAATTTTATATTAAACTCTTTAAGTCTGATCTTTAAATAACCTTGAAGGTTGAACATTTTCAATTGCGAAATTTAGAGATTGTTTTCTTCAAAGACTATGGGTTAAGTAAACAAATCACTATATCAATAAAAAATTTTATTAAAAATATATTTATTCGATTGGTATAAAAAATGTACAAAAATAAATAATATAGCATTCAAAATTAAAATATAACAAAAATATATCATTCTCGGCCTCGACTCTTTTTCACTCAGCAAATATTCTATATGTACATGTTCGATGATAATTTTTCACACGGCACTCGATCGACAGTCGCGCGAAGTAATAAAGCGAGATACGCCACGGGTGCACGAGATTAAAAATAACCATGTCTGGCAGGCATGAAAACCCTCAATAGCGAGTCCTCTTCGATCTGCTTATCGGTGATGTTCATGTTCGTCAAGCAAATCCTCCACAGATCCTTGTTCATCAATTTTGGGTCCGAGGCGATCATATCGCAACAGTTAATCGGCATACCCGTCATGTCGTAGACGGCCTGCGTGGCCCAGCGCTCGAAGATTTCCCTCGAGAGTATCTCGCACAGGTGCAGCACACAATCCTCGGTCATGGTGCCGTAAGTGCTGTACTCGTACTCGCGATCGTATTTGTCCGCGAACTTGTAGTAATCCACGAGCTCGAGTCGTGTCGAGGCCTCTCGGATCGGTAAACGGATGAGTTGATCGAGCGTCAGGCCGGGCACGATCTCGCACCGTCCCGGGCCCTGCGGCTCGAGCTCGTCGTCGGGCAAGGAATTTTTGTACGACCACTCTTCCGACGTCTCGTACAACTTGCGATTGGCGAACAGCTTGAAGATGGCCATCGTGCTTTTGGGCCCCAGTGTGAATCCTCTGTCCTCGAGCATCTCGACAGCCTTCAGAATGCCGGCGGCCAGTTTCACCTTCAGGATCATGTTTTCGTAGCCGATATTTCGGAACACATAGTCGAAATCTTCGTAATTCGGGAAAACGAAGTCGTTCTCCGCGACGCTGGCGCCTCTACTCAGCAGGAACTCGACCATGCCCAGGTCGACACGGGCCACGGCCGACATGAGCGGCGTCCGATTCTCGCTGTCCCTGGCTTCGACCTCCACCCGCAGATTCCTCTCCGCGACGACTTGGAAGATCAGCTCGCCTATTCCCTGCCAGTAGGAGGTCCTGTGGCACATGATGTGCAGCGGGGTCAATCCCTCCGCGTTGGGTTTATTCGGGTCGGCGCCCCGCCTCAGCAGCAGCTCGGGCAACGCGTTCGCCTCGCCACGGAAGCACCGCAGCACCAAGTGGAGTGGTGTGTCGCCATGGATGTCCTGGCAATCGACCTCGACCCGCTGCCCGAGCTCGTCGTTGATCTCGAAGAACCGGCTCGCCAGGCCCTCGTCGCGCTTCCTCCTGGCGATGTGATGCAGCGCGGTGCTACCCTCGGCGTCGCCCGCGTTCGGCTTGGCGCCTTTGCGCAGTAGATGGTCGACCAGTGCCTTGATGTTGTCGTCGGTCGTGGCATAGATCGTCACCGGTTCGCCCGGTGCCGCGGGTGCCGCTTGGGCGAAAACCGTGAAGTAATTGCCTATGTCGTCTCTCTCGGAGACGATGTGCAGCGGGGTCTTGTATTCGTCGTTGCGCGCGTTCGGGTCGGCGCCGCGCTCGAGCAGGAGTCGGAACAGTTCCTCGACGCCGTCGCACGCGCACTTGGCCGCCAGGAGAAGAGGGGTGTTGTTCGAATTGTCCCGGGGGTCGACCTCCAACGGCCGATCCGATTCGTCGCAAAACTCGAACAGCAACTCGGCCAAAATATCGGCATCTGATTTTCTCTTGCAGGCAAAGTGCAGGGCATTCCAACCCGTCAAGTTGACCAGGGTGGGATCGGCGCCTCTCCTCAGCAGCACATCGACTACGTGTCGTTTGCAGCGGCCGGTTAAAGCCAAGTGCAGCGCTGTATTGCCCTGTTTATTCGGGATATCGACCTGTACCTGCTCCCCTCTTTCTTCGCATATGCGGAAAAACTCCTCCACCAAATCGTCGTCGTCGTCTCTCTGGCAGATGTAGTGCAGTGGAGTCAGTCCCTTGGCATCTGCCAGATACGGGCTCGCGCCCTTGTTCAGCAGCAGCTTGGCGACCTCCAGGTTGTTTTTCTTCAGAGCCCAGTACAGCGGCGTGAAGCCCTTGCCGTCCAGAGCGTCGATCTCTATCCTGCGCCACTTGTTCTCGATGCACAGATTCAGGAACATCTCCGCCAAATCGGCCTTGTCGCCGGCCTTCTTGCAGATGACGTGCAACGCGGTGTGACCTCTCGGCGAGGGCACGTTCGGATCGGCGCCGTATTCCAACAGCATCGCGATCATCTTCGATTGATAAGCGAGCGTAAAATCGTCCTGGCATAGCATGTGCATGACGGTAAAGCCCTTGGAATCGGTGACATTAGGATTGGACCTCTTTTCCATCAAATAATCGATCCTCTTTGTCTTTTTGTTGCGCACGGCCCAATGGAGCAGCGTGTTGCCCTCTTTGGTTTGACGATCGAGCACTCCCGCTCTGTACTGGTCGCGAGTGCACGTCAGTATCATGTGAACCCAGTGATAATCGATGCACTGCTTTTGAAAAATAATTTGTATAACACTCCATCCTTTATTGTTCGCTATGTTTGGATCGGCGCCGTTCAACAGCAGCATACGCATCATTTTATTGTGTTTCTTTTTCAGAGCCAGGTGAAGGGGTGTATTGCCGTCCAGGTCTCTGCCATTGACTTCCACCGTACGCTTGAGTTCCCTGCTGAATCCGAAAAACTTCTCCAAAAAGATGTGACCGTCGCTTCTTTTGCAAATGATATGTACGGGCGTCTCGCCGTAATAATCAGCTATATTTTGATCGAAGCAATATCTCATAAGCAATTTGACAAGCTTCTCTTGTGGCTTGTTCTGCAGAGCCCAGTTTAACGGCGTTCGACCAATGCTGTCTCGAGCATCCACATCGAATGGCTGATAATCGTAGTAAATATTGTTGAATAATACCTCGACCACTTCGTGAGCAGCGTAGCCTTTTGCCTTGCAAACACTGTGAAGCGGAGTTCTTCTACTAAAGTCCATCGCGTTTGAATCGGCACCGGCTTTCATCAATAATACTATCACTTCCTTGTGCTCGTACTTCGCGGCCAGATGCAGAGGTGTCTCGCCAGTATCCGTCCACGTACAATTGGGATCCTGTTCGCACATGAGAAAATTTTCAACGGCGTCAACGTGTCCCGACATGCAAGCGATATGAAAGTGAGACAGGCCGGTCTCATCGACGAAATTTACATCGACTAGGTTGTAGATCTTAAACAGTCGATAGAGTACGGTTGTCCTGTCAAACATGTAGAGTTTGGCCGCATGATGAACCGGTGTGGTGTACGATACCACGATGTAACCATATTCATCGCGCTCTGGATCATCTCTGTACCTGGCACGAATTAGAAAGTCGAGGAAATGATCTCTGTTTCCATAACCCAACTCAGTCCAGAATTGCACGGTATCTGTAAGAAGGCAATCGATTTCTCCTTTTGTAAAAATGCTCAGCAGGTCGGGAAGTTCACTACTCGCGCAATCACTGATGAAAGGACCAATGTCAATTAGAAATTGGACACGCTCTTCTTGAATTTCCCAGTTGACATTTTCGTGCAACGTCCACAAACTTTCCACATTATTTTGGTTATGATGGCCCTCGTGTTCCATTTTGACTTTAACGCACAACTCACTGTCACTTGTAATTTAAAATATTTACAAAAAACTTTCACTATTATCACTTTCTACGGTCAATGCGATATTCGTAGATCCTCGCGCCACAACGTCGCAGCACAGACTGACTATCCGAATGCACTGCTAACGAACATGTGCTGCAGCAGCCGTAGCTGTAACAAAAGTACGAGTGGCTCCCACTATGTGGTCGATTTGGAAACGATTTCACTGCACATGTGCAGTAGCCCTGAGCGCCCGGCAATGCGTTATTTCTCCTGAAATATGGAATCCTGTATGCTTAAACACATGTTTCAAGGCAACATTACAATGACGTAGCATGAGACAAGCACTAATCGGTCAATATTCGAAAAAGTACTCAATATATGTATATTTTTTTTGGACAATCCATGATTTGTTTGATCCTCGTCAATCTATAAAATTTTTCGTTTATTTACCTGTATTTTTATATGACCGATTAAACGTTGCGACGTTGCAAATGTTGTTATTGTTAAGATCATTGTCAGAGTTAAGTTTAAATGTTAGTAATTTATTATATACTTAAAATAAAATGTGTTCAATTTTATACTGTAAGCTTAATGAGCAATGAAATATTAAAATTTATTTATTAAATAATGATCTATTAAAATATTAATATGATTGAAATTTAAAATATTATGCAAAAAAAAATTTTAATTCTACTGGCTGGGTTTTTAGAAAAATATTGAACTTAATTGTATTTCATGATGTTTTTGGATAGATTTCGATGCTCTAAATCGATTTTTTCAAGTTCATTTCTTTGAACGTTGCCCTTTTAAAAGTTGTTAACAAATTAATTATTTCTAAGGTGATATCTTGTAAACTATTGAAGATTGATTAAAACAATTTTTTATTATTTTATTCGAGTTAAGAAAATAAAACGAAAGAGTTTTTAAGAATCAAAGTCGGTCGATTAGGTAAAAAATTATGTAAATTTAATTGTATTTACTGAGAAAGTTTAAAAAAGAAAAACACGTGATGATTGTAAAATTTTTAAGTTATTATATTCGTTAAATAATTTTGGGACAAAAAAATTACAAGGCCAACTTTTTGTTTAGAATTTTCCAAGGAATCTAAAAATATTTTTCATTTAGCAATAAAATTTGTTATTAATATTATATTGTTATTGTAAAATAAATAAATTTTTTACAAAATTGAAAATAGTTTCAGACTCCTTGGAAAATTCTAAACAAAATATTTCTCGTGACATTTTTTTGTCCGATAAATATTTAATAAAATAAAAATAGATATGAACTTGATAATCACCACATGTTTTTGAATCTTAAGAAGGCTGTACACAAATCCTATCAATAGTACAGCGAGTTATCTGTCTGTCTCTTTCTCGCATTAGGCAGGCAACTGCTCGCACTATTCGAAATCAATTATTTTGTTTGATTACTCATTAGTTAGCTCGTTAAAGGGTACTTTTTTCTATACCAATCGAAAGCTTGGAATTTTCTCTTTCAGAAAATATATTTTTTATTAGGATGGTTGATCTTTCAAATTAATTATAAACAATAAAAGACCGCGTCCCATAAGTGTTACTGACATAGGTTAGTTTTTTAAAAATTGTTCATCTCTAATCTATTTTTTAATGTTCTTGTATATATTTAAATACTCTGCATCGTTTTTTCGTGATAATTCATTTGAAAGTTTTTCAATTAAAATTTATATATAAATAAATTATTTATACCGTCAAATCTTGTAAACTATTGAGGATAGATTAAAACAATTTTTTATTATTTTATTCGCGTTAAGAAAATAAAACGAAAGAGTTTTTAAGAATCAAAGTCAGTCGGTTAGGTAAAAAATTATGTAAATTTAATTGTATTTACTGAGAATGATTAAAATAGAAAAACACGTGGTGATTGTAAAATTTTTAAGTTATTTTATTCGTTAAATAATTTTTGGACAAAAAAATTACAAGACCAACTTTTTGTTTAGAATTTTCCAAGAAATCTAGAAATATTTTTCATTTAGCAATAAAATTTGTTATTAATATTATATTGTTATTGTAAAATAAATAAATTTTTTTACAAAATTGAAAATAGTTTCAGACTCCTTGGAAAATTCTAAACAAAATATTTCTCTTGACATTTTTTTGTCCGATAAATATTTAATAAAATAAAAATAGTTATGAACTTGACAATCACCACATGTTTTTGAATCTTAAGAAGGCTGTACACAAATCCTATTAAAATAGTACAGCGAGTTATCTGTCTGTCTCTTTCTCGCATTAGGCAGGCAACTGCTCTCACTATTCGAAATCAATTATTTTGTTTGATTACTCATTAGTTAGCTCGTTAAAATGTACTTTTTAACATACCAATCGAAAGCTTGGAACTTTTTCAGAAAATATATTTTTTATTAGGATGGTTGATCTTTCAAATTAATTATAAACAATAAAAGACCGCGTCCCATAAGAGCTCGTATTAAAATCGCCATTTTTAAACTCGTTTATCTCAAAAGTTTGAGCGTCAACCACATGTTTTTTTTTAAATCTCATTTTAAAGATCTAACAAATCGATTGATATAAGTTTTATCTTGTTGGATGATCTTTTGTATTGTGTGTAGAGCCTACTTAACCTATTTTTCAGTAAACATGAAAATATCCATAAATTTTTATCTAATGAACCGATTTTTATTTTCAAAAATTCAATCGCTTTTTTTTTTTTTTTTTAATGTCAAGAGAATTATTTTGTTTAGAATTTTCCAAGGAATCTGAAACTATTTTCAATAGATTTCATACTGAAGCATAAAGATATTGTTTTTACGAATTTCAAACTTCAGGCTTCATGCGCCACCTGAAGACATCATTTGTTCGCGCCCAGCTTGCGGCTTTTCTCTTTTTTTAACTTAAACTTTCAATAAAATACTATTACAAAGCGATCGGCGTCAAAAGTGTTTTTTCGTTACGCCTTAAAGTCTATACTAAGGGAAAAAACAAATGGTTGCTTTTATCCGTGCATGTGAACGCTATTAAATTTGATAATATTTGATGTAGTATTTCTCTTAGTGAAGATTTTAATTTTGTAAAACAACAAAAATTTGAACCATGGTTTATTATTTTATTGGCTGAATATTTAGATACACGATATGTGTGCCCAGCACGATCTATAATTATCTATTAGGTTGCAAAATCTCGATGCAGTCAGATGTATAAATATTAAAAAAAAAACTTGTTCTATGCGTTACGTTAACGGCGAACAAAAAGTCACTTTGAATGATCGATCACTACCTTGGAATTCGATAATTAATCATGCGAATTTTTCTCCGATGCCTGAACAAAACAGATTGATCTATTACTTGTGTTATATTAAATGAATTTTTATTAGCAAAAAATTTTGCTCTGCATTTTAATTCACCTATCATTGCAGGAGTTGACGATAAATCGTTAAAATGTGTTAACGTAAAAATGATCTATTGCTTGATATCAGTGAGCTGAATATTAATTTTCAATGCTTAAAAACTCGCATTTCACTTTATTGATTGTTTTTTACTGCTTTAGAAGATGAAAGTATTAATTTATTCTCTATTGAAATGATAATTTTTATACACAACTTAACAAGATCTTCAGTTCTTTTACGATTTAAAAAAATTGTTGGAAACAAAGCGTCAATACGAATGAATTAACAAAACACTATTAGCGTTAACTGTAGGAACTACCACGCGAATGGCCGGTACGTTGAAAAAAGTTGTTTAATGTTTAAAAAACTCGATTGGTAAATACAAGTTTGCCTTTGCAACATCAGTTGCAATCGATACACTCGTAAATTTTTTCCCCAGCTAATAGCGTTAAATTTATCCACCGAGTATACCCGTGCGAACAGATGCGTGAAAGTTTACCGATTTAATTTGTAAAAATCGTCACCGTTAGATGGCGCGTTTGGCATCGTTTCGCCTCGCAAAATGTATCGGCTTGTACAGATCGTCGGCTGTATACCGATCTAATGTTGCATAGCACTGTGCACGAAGAGGAAACTACTCGTGGCCGTCGTCGCCACCGCCGCGAATTCACTTTCGCTGCTGCTGCTACTGCTGCTGCTGCTGCGGTGCCGAGTCTCGAGTTGCGCGAAACTTTGGACTACGGAATTTTTCATAATGAAGTTTTTAATAGAAATCCGAAGAATGCATTAAAACATTTGAGACTCACAGCAGCAGCAGCAGCAGTAGTAGCAGCAGAGCGAGTAGTATATTTTTGTGCGAGGGAGAAAAACGCCGCGTAGAAGTTCACCGGAGAATACCTTCATGAATAAAAAATAGATTTTTAATAAAAAAATTTTTTTGTGAATGATTTATGTGGGAGAATTTCACACCACACGAGATTAGAAATGTTTCGTTGACTGCGCAGAAAAACTTTAAATTAATTCACTTCGATGAATAAAGTATCTCGCATTGCATTGAAATAATTCTCAACCGTTTGAGCCGCACGAAGAAAAAACCAAATTACTCCATAATAGAATATTATTAATTATATCACGACTTACATATCATCTCGCTCGCGCCGAAACCTAGTATATATCTCTCGCGCTCATTGAGAGAACGAAAATGTCGAATTATTCAGGCGCGCGTAACGCAATCGACACACACGCGGCTCTACTGTGTGCAGCTCATTAAAATTCATCGGCTATTTTGAATATGTGTGTGTGTATCGCTTATCGAGCTACTACTAATTATTCGCGTGCAAGACAAGTAATTACATCAAAATTAAAACAATTTCTAATCGAAAGCCCGTTTATTTTGCGTAAGGCTGTATAGCTACTACCTATAGTAGCCAGAACAACTGCCGTTGCGCCGTATAATCGGGTTGGTGCAGCACGGCACACAACGCCCCATACAGGTATTTCCAGAAAAAACATTTGCATAAAATATGGTCGAGCCGATTTTGTCGCGATCACGAGTTTTCGAAAATAAAAAAATTATCCACGTAATAGGCTGTCGATATCGGGCCCGAAATAGAGTCGAGCGCCGATATGGTTTTGCACTTGTCGTACACGCGATCATCTTTTTGGCCGTCTAGCCGCGCAATTCCCGTTGTGCTTTATGAGAGCAGCAGCAGCAGCAATCGACGTTATTTCTCCACCTCGCAACTTAAAAACTACCGTCTGCCTCGGAAGTTTCACTTTTTTACGAAACATCCGCGCGCAAGTTCAGTTTGTTCAATTTTTATCCAAGCGCGCGATCGCAATACGCGAAAAATACCTTTATCACACTTTACGTAAGCGTTCCTTTTTTCTTTTTTTTTTAAATATCCAAATTAAAATCGCAGCCGCGCGCATTGTTAGCATTGAAACCTCACATATAGAAATGCCACGAATGCATGCGAGAAACTCGTAAAATATCCTCAACTAGCTCGCATGCGGAGGTACAACAGAAAAGCGAAAAAAAAACTATTCACATAATGATTGTCCGAATAACTGCGAAATTCGTGCACAGACAGACCAAAGCTTTGGGAGTTTGCGCAAAAAAAAAAAAACAGAAGGAGAAGTGTTACACGCGCGCGCGCGCGCATTAGAAACAATAACCGCAATCCATTGTGCAAAATCGGAATACTTCTATTAATCGTTCATTAGATAATACGAGCTCGCGTACACACGTAAATCCCTCTAAATGCTTTGGTATAATTATCCTGCGCTCGCGCGCGCGCAATTCAACTATACACGTCTCCGTTCCTTTTTTTTTCGTGCAATAAACGTCGAATTCGTGCGCACTCGCTAACACACAAAATTATGCTCGAATTTCTTGCAGTTCATAATAATTTTTTTCACGTTGATTTAAATAGTATTTATATTTGTATCGCATTGACTGCGGTGGAATTGCGTGCTAATTGGAGTTGTATAGACATTTTTAACGCTGACCTTCGATTAAACTTCTATAAAATTATATGAAATATTTCTAGCGTTGCAAAAAGTATCGTTCTATACCGCGTGTTTGCGCTCTCGTTCGATACACACACACACACACACACACACACACACACACACACACACACACAACGGGAAAAAATGTCAAAGCCCCGGCAAATCTCCGGGCTTTATCGAAGGAATATCGAACGGTAATATTACAGCGGCAGGTAAACATCCAATTTGGCCCAGGCGCCTCTCGCGCTCTTGCCTCTAAGCCTCTCGGTATATCATGCGTTTAGAGAGGAGCCGAACGAACGAAGAGGAGCAAAGAAAAAAAAAAGAACGAGAAGAGCTACTTTTCTTGCGGGTGTCTATTGCAGTGCCGCAAAAGCAGACAATGACCGTAAATGTCAGACCTCGCTATTAGCCGCGCGATCACGTTCGAGAAGCTCGAGCGAGGCCCTATTTTCTCTTCGCGTCTCGTCGTTTATTGTGTGGGGGATCTCTTTTTGCGCTGGGCTACGCGTTTGGACGTGTGTGCAGTGCACGCGACACGTGAAAAAAACGTAGAGTAGACGCGCGCACATTTTTTAAAAGGTTACAATATTTAGAAAAAGAGTATTATCAAGTCCGTGCCACGCGCTTTTTTATAAGTAAAGGCGGCGAAAAAAAAATTCAGATTTCTCTCGTGCGGCGAGAGGGAGATTTACGACTACACTCGTGATCCTATATTGAATTTTGCAACAGGAGCTGCCGATTATTCGAAAATATTTTTGCCTGAAAAATAACGCGCCCGCCTGGGTCATCTATATGCATATGCGTGGCGCGGGCACGACAATTGAATATTACATCACGATTTTATTAGTCGAAATTTCTTATTCATAGTTCGGATGTTTTTTCTGTTTTTTTTTTTTTTTACGTAATTTTGTTTACTCTACTTTTTTTCCTATATACCAAACGGACTCTCCCTTGCACAAACGTACCATACTGCAATATCGTCGTTCGTTCGGCGCGTTTGTGTGTATAATACATAAGAATTGCGTGGCGCTCGGCACCAGGAAATTTGCCTTTGCACTTGAATGATCCGGTTAAAGATGGAAAGTATTATGTCAAAGGAGAACCCAGCCTGTGTAAAGGTATATGTGTGTGTGTGTTATAGCATGCAAAGCCCAATAATTACCACTACTAGCGAAGCCCGAAGAAAAGGATCCCGACGACTATATACAGCGTACAACTTAGAGAGCGTCGACAAACCAACAAACGAAAATTAAAGTTTGTGTTGTTTCTGGCTCGATAATAGCCTACATTGCGATGATACGCAACGAGTGTTTTACGCGCTGCGCTTTTTATTTTTTTAAGCTGTATTATGCGTTTGCGCCCAAGTATAAGTGTAATGTAATAATAATGCGTATGCGTGTTGTTGTGAGTGTATGGAAATCTCGTAAAGCACCGCGTCGAGCGACCGATTGAAACCAGCTCGCGCTCGAGAGAGTAGTTGAGCTGTGTTATTGGAATGATAAATGCCATCGACATAATATACATTGTAAAAGGCGTGTCACGCACACACACACACACACACACACACTTCAAACAGCGAGTTTTCTTTCTCTCTCTCTCTCTCGCTCGCTCGGTGGTGTGCCCCAGACACATTATAATATGGAGAATGATTATTAAATTGTATATATCCTTATCTGCGCGCCTGGCCTGGTCTGCCTAGATATGGTTGGAAGGAGCAGGCAGGCAACTATTCGCGCCAAGCCATGGACAAAGAAAAACTTGCTCTCTTACGCATATATACACATAGATACATACTTTTATCAATATGTGCGCGGCGCGGCGCGCAGGAAAGATTGTGCAGCGAGCAAAACTGGCTTCCACGCAGCAGCAGCAGCAGCTATATCAGAGGGGGTGAGATTGCATATAGGAGGAAAATGCAATAGGCAAACACACGTCTCGAACCTTGTCCGAAGGCCGGTATACGTGTGTATGTGTGTGTGAGCCCCCGCTGCACATGTATGATGGGTGTGTCTCTCTCTCTCTCTCTTAAGTCTCTATGCTTCGCGGGCCGATATTGCGACCTTCTTGCACAATGGGTTACGCGGTTACGAGCCGAGCGCCGAGCTCGAAAAGAGAGAGAGAGATATATACTCGTTTGTTGCCACTACTTACACACATTATGTGTGTATATGCCTATGCACACTGTGCACCGCGACTAGAGAGAGAGAGAGAGAGAAAGAACTACGCGGCGTTAGAAAGAAAGAGAGACTATAGTCTCTCTCCCCGCCTTTTATTCAAAAGGGATTAGCTTATAGCGGGGGCGCGGTTCTAACGTGCACAGAGCCGTGTTTAAGCGTTCCGTCGTCGCGAGCGATCCGAGGCATATATAAGCACCATCGCTTACACCGCTTAGACACATTCAGCTGACTTCGACAAGCCGAGTAACAACAACACAACCACCAATCATCAACATGAAGGGTCTTGTGAGTATATCAGCACGCTCATATATATATAGCACTCTAACATTTTGTGTATAGCTCTCCACCAAACAAACAGACTTAGATTTTTCTCTGTACTTGTAGACTTTGCACGATTGAAAAATTCAAAGTTGTACTTTTCCTTTGATATATATCCTTTTTGGACTCGAGCTTCGCGAGTGTGAAAAAAGTGACTTTGTACGGTGTTAATTTTTTTTCTATCTATACTCCAGTGCTTCGAGGCAGTTGCAAGACTCGATCCTTTTTTTTTCAAAACCCTTTTTTTTTCATATTCCAACTAACCCAAGTTCCATACCAAACGCATCGCTCGTACAAGTCTCCACCCGAACCAACGTTGACTAACTCCTTTCTCGATTCATATAATTACACCGTGCGCTGCACCATCGCGTCGATTCTCCGCGCGCGCACACACACAGAAACGTGCAATTTTCATCGAAACGGATTGCTCATAGCGCAGCAGGCTTCAGGCTGCTGGTGTGAATTTCGCATCGGTTTCGCGCAGCGGCGTGCGTAATAATAATATCGGACTTGTGCGCGCAGGGGGGCAATTGATGCTTGGGGAGATTTTGTAATTCTCCGCGTCTTGGGCAATTGCGCGCGTTTCGTACCCACACTCAGACACTTTGCATAGAGCGCGAAAGGCATTGTAATGCTACCACCCGACGCGACCTTCTTTTCATTGCACAAATTAGTTTAATGTCCACACGACTGCTCGTTTGCTGTGTGCGCACAATTGCACTGGTTTACATTTTTCTCCGTTTTTAATGATTATTGCCCTACGCAAGCGATACGATCGTGGCGCGTTTCTCAAGGGGGTTGTGTCGGCAAACGCATAAAAAAAAATAGTGTGTCGCAATCGCATTGACTAACTGGCATATTATTTTCCACCCGTCTCGACCCACTGGTACAGTTGGTCTGCCTTGCCATCATCGCTGCCGCCAGCGCAGCCGAGATCCGCGAGAAGCGCGGAGTCTACGGACACGGCCATCTGGGTCTGGACCTCGGCCATGGTCACGGACACGGACACCTGATCCACGGACACGGTGCCGCCCTCGCCGGACCCCACACCGGCCCCAACACCCTCGTCGGACCCTCCAACGGCCCGAACCACCTCGCCGGACCCCACATCGGACCCTCGAGCCTGAGCGGTGCCGTTGATCACGGAGCGCACGTCAGCGGTGCCATCGCCGGACCCGCCATCATCTCCGCCTCCAAGGCTGGACCTGCCCATGTGGAACATCATGGTCATGACGATCATTACGGTGAGTCTATCTGTCCATTGCCGTACATGAGCTTTTTGTGATCATTTACATGTGCAGCATTATTTACCAAAACAACAACAACAACCAAAGCTTTGATCATTTTGTGACTCCCACTACTTTTTACTTCTTTATTTTTGTTTTTTTATACTTTATATTCATACGCGAGCTTTCAAATCTTTTTTTCTCAATCAATGTGTCATTAAAAAAAAAAAAAAAAAAAATTGTGCATAAACAAAAGAAACATCTGCAAAATTTTACTTCTCTTTTTTTTTATTTCATTGGTTGAGGGTGTTTTAATTTTGTTTATTATTATTATATACTTCGCACTTTCTCGTACATCTACTTCGAATCTGTACTTCTCTCTTTCTATTTCTTTCTCTCTTCTCTCTTTCTTTCTTTCTCTTTCTCTTTTCTCTCAGCTTTAATGGAAAACGTATGATGAATGCGAAACAAAACGATCTGTTTTTTTTTGTTACTTAGGCCACTACTAAGTTAAAAATGGCATGGATCTGCGGCATATGTAACACACACATTCACCCAATAAAGTAGATGCGTTCCAAATTTGGTAAGACGCAAATCTTGACCTGCACGTTTTTTATATAGTTTTTTATACCATAATGAGCACATTATTATTTTATTATTTTATTATTAATTAATTATTTTATACGATTAATTTAAAACAACAAGATCAACAAAATTAAAAGATTTATTAATATAAGATCTATGCGCTCTGAAGAAGTAACCTGACGAAAGAAAAAGTTTTAGTGTTCAGTAAAACGTTTTCCATGAAAAATTATATAGAATCAAACTCGTTCATTTATATTTATTCACGTTATGCTTCGAAACATTTATTTTTTTTTATGAGCTTTTTCATGTTTTTCTCTTTCTCTTTCTCTTATTTTATTTACGTATATGTGCTTGATTAACAAACAAACTCTGATATGGGTCTCTTCTTCCAAGCGTTTTTTGTAATATTTAAGATTCCTAGCCATGTAAGTCGTCGAATTGAAAAAAAAAAATACATAAACTTATTTTTTAATTTTTCTTTGAAAACGCGTCGGGTTCTTAGGATAAAAATAAAACTAATTGGAAAGTAGCTGCATCCAGAAAATGTGCAAATTATGATAAAGATCGTGGGTTCAGATTTGGTCAAATACCAATTGATAGAAAGAAAAAAAAATAAAAATTGTCTGTTCTTTAATTATTACTGCTACATTGCGCCATTTTTTTCCAAAATTCATTGGCTTCTCTTCATTATTCGCACGCGCTCTCTTTATTGTACATAACTATATGCTCTCGATGCTTATTCTGCTTTCTTCTATATACGATACATTATCATTATGTATATAAAAATACATTTTTTCATGTGATTCAGCTAACTTATATAGTACAATAGATATAGATTATATTAAAAAAAAACGAAGTTTTCCAAAGGCTGTAATTAACATTCGTTCGCTTTGCCTGCTTTTTTTCCCCTCGTCGTCCATCATACATAGGCCACCACGATGGACACGCGCTCGTGCACGGCGTGCACGGACTCGCCCACCACGCCGTCCTGGACCACGGACACCACGGACACAGCGGCTTGGTGCTCGCTGATCACGGACACCACGGACTCGTCGCCGTCGGACCCGCTCACCACGGACACGTCCTCGCCGGACACGGACACCACGGCGTGATCGTCGGCGGACCCCACGGACACGGCGTCCATCTGGCCGGACCCCATGCCCACGGTGCCGCCCTCGCCGGACCCCACGCTGGCCCGGTTGCCATTTCTGGACCTCATGCCGGAGCCGCCGCCGTCTCTGGACCCGATGCCGGTTCGGCTGTGATCGCCGGCCCGTCGGGCACCATCACGACGCACGGAGCCGGACACGGCGCCCACGTCGTCACCGGACACGGACACGGACACGGCCACTGGTAAATCATATACACATTGCCAACGAGTCAGTCAGCCCGCAATGCCGCACCAACAAAAAAAATCATATAGATAGCTCTTTCTACCTATATATATGAATATATATAAAATATATTATATAACTCACATCGCGGAACTCACTACGGTCCAAAAAAAGAAAAGTCCAGCAGCAGCATCAGCAACGAGAAACAACAACGACAAGTTCATCTATGTGTGACGAATTTTTTTTTTCAAAGTGTGTGAAATCGACGGTTCGATCGAGAGCATTTGTGAATTACTTGTATCACCTGCAGTCCCCCCGAACCTCTAGCCCCCCTCAACCCTTCTCTTAGCCTATTTTATACCACCCCCAACCCCACACTCTCTTCACTTCTTCTTTTTGTATACTCTCTTGTACTCTCTGACTCTCTTCTCTTCTCTCTCAGTCTCTCTCTGTATATCCCCCCATCCTTTTACGTGATACGTAAAACGCACCAAAAACGGCCTTTGAGCAACGATGAGCTCTTGGCCGATCCAAGCAAGTCACCTTCCACCCCCCATGTCCACCAACCTGCCCCCTAAACTATATATATTATTATAAATATTGTACATTGATATTGTAATTAACTTTCCTCGATTCATCGACTCGTTCTCGATTTCGATCAAAGTGAGAAAAAAAAGCAAAAGAAGTCGTCAGCTTTTTTCTGTTGTTTGTGTGTCGCACAATTATCTGTCGCGAGAGATTCATGCCATTGATATAAATATTATATATATAATTGTTTATTATATATACATATTATATATATTATACATTACCATTATTTTTTTTACTCGACTCGAATTCAGCGGTGTATGTAAATATAAGTAGATACACGCTAAATAAACGCACGTTTTTTAATCATCAAAAACAAAAAAATACTCGTTCTTCTTTATATATCTCACGATAAACATATACCATTATTATGTATACACAACATCCTCGTAAAATTCACTTTTTTTTTTCATCCACAACAAGCAGTTCGTTTAAGGTACATAATGGACCGCAAAAAGTGCGCAGCTCATGTTAATTAAACGCATAATATCGGGATAATTATAAATTTATATAAGTGAAAACTATACCACGCACACAGCATGCCGATACCATATACACAATTACTAAACGCTCATAAACAGAGAGACCAAGTGAACACACATAAACACACATATACACGAGCAAGTATATTGATCTGCATGATCTACATCCAAGCTATTACTCAATTTTCTCCTTTTAGACTCTATCAATGGCTTTAATCCGCATCTATAGGCTCATATAATTCTCTCTTAGAGTAAGAGAGAGAGAGAGAGAGATCAAGAAAAGTGCTTAAGTAACAATGCGTATTATATCGGTAATCCATTACGCATTTATATAGGCCTCAGTCGGTACGCTCATACGTTTGTGTATGTGTGCGCTCAAGTACCATTTCTAATTTCACGTGCGCGGACTGTACGAGCCAATAATTTTGTGTGTGCGCGAAAAGTAAAATAGATCGTTTCTTCGAAACATTGTACACCACAGGTATCGTTATCCACGCGCGCGGTCTGGTCAGTCCGGTGCGGTGATTTTAACGAAGCCTGTGTGCATGTGCATGTGTGCCTATACGCACGCGTAAAAATTGGATTATGCGAGCCGCGCCGCAGCGCACAAAGCAGAGAAACGCACGCAATCAATCCTCGACGCGAAACAAGCGCGGCGCGCACGCAAAGAAATGCCTTCGATTTCTATATATATGCATGCCTCGCTTGTACGTACGTACGTATGTATGTGCCGTTGTTGTTATTGTTGCGTTACGACAACGAGTGAGTGAGAGAGCTGCAGATAACACGTGATTTTTTTTGCAGCAGCACTGCTCACTCGCTGAAATGCACTGCACAAAGGCAAAAAAAAGTATGTATAAATTGGGCAGGGAGCGAGAGAGAGAGAGAGACTAGACTCGGTGAACTATGCAGAGTGGAGCGCGCCGAGGAAGAGTATATTATAGTATAGCGAGTAGTTTCCCACGCGTGAAAACCTTCTGTCTGTACCTGCTGCATCTATGTGTCTATGTATCTATGAGTGTGTATGTGTGTGGGAAAAGCCTAGCTATGCTGGCTCAAGAGAGAGAGAGACCTGCTATAACTATCCGATAATTCGATATAAATGTGAGTCAGTGCGCACACAGACACAGTGCACTACTGCTGCACGTCCATATAATAGTAATATACATAAAGTCGTGTATACTCGACTATTCTCGTGTACTGCGTAATCTTTTAAACGTTTCATCACTCACAACTGCAGCAGCAGCAGCAGCAGCAGCAGCAGCAGCAGCTAGAGCCATACACATACAAGTACAACATACACTTGCAGCAGCAGCAGAGACCGCCTGTTGTTGATGTTGTGTTTTTCTCTCTCTTATGTATAGCAGCAACTCGTGTATATAGTAAGATCGTGATGAGAGAGAAATATATATGTGTATGCGGTCTCTCGGTCGGCGGGTCAGGTCGAATCTTCCTTTCTATATACCTACATGCCTATATATTGTGTGTGCCTGCCTGACTCGACTGAATATACAGATACTGCAGCAGTACAGCATAGATCGGCCCGTATAGTACTACTATATATATGCGCCTTTCGATCAATTACCGCCGTTGTGTTGCAGATTTTTACTCTCACTCGCTCTCCGCGCCGCGCGAGCCTCGAAGCAAAGCGATGATAGACACTCCTCTCTATGCCCCGCCGAGTGAGAGACTATTATAAAGTTGTAGGTATACATTATTACAAACTAACAGCCTCTTATTTTGACACAGATTGAAAAATGAGCTCCGCGAGATTATACTATAAGACGTCGTCTCTCTCTCTCTCGGGAAGATTATTATTTCTCTATCCTTTTTTTTCTCTACCTCGTCGTGCGTCGTGGTTTTCCTTTTCTTCTCTCGCTCGGTATAAGCTCGCTATGCTCGTGTGGCTCGCGGCTGCTCGCGACCTCCGCGATCTTTATTAATTATTCATAATTGGCATCGATTCATAAAATGCAAAAATTGTCGCTCGTAAATTCCCTATTATTGCATCATATATATTGCTGCTGCTACTGCTGCAGCTGTCCATAAAGCACGAGCTCTAGAAAGGCTCAAGAGCAAATGCGTATGTGCCGCGCGCACATATACGTCTTTTCTATGGGTATATCATTGTCGTCGTCGCGCAAAAACCAAATTAAATTCAATTTCAATGGGGCGCCGCGCGCGCACACAGACACACACACGCAGGGGCCATTAGATCGCTCTTACATAATTTAATTAAGAGTCGAGTGCGCGCAGCTTTTCCGCACTCGCGCGCATACGTATATTATATAGACGTAGGACTATATGGAGTCCCTTGGTACGGCCAGCTATATAGAAAGATTGAGATGCAAAAGGCCGCCCGAAAAGTAGCAGCAGCACACAGCGGAATTCGATAATGGAGCGATATTCGCGTGCTGTGTGTGTCTGTCTGTGTGTGCACTGGCCTGCTGCTGCACTCGTTCGTTACGTTGCACGCGTCTACCATATACTTTTGCGTAATTTGAATGCGGGCGGGGAGCAAAAAAAAATCACACACAACGCACTGCACGCGAGACGAGCTGATCGCGCCGAGCGAAGGCGAAACTAGTGCAGCAGCGGCATTTAATAATCGCCGCGCGCCGTCGAGCGCAAGTGGGAAAGTTGCTGCCACTCGCTATAAAATTTGAGCACCTGCCAATTGTCCTTACGATACACTTCATTTGCCTATCCGCATATATGGGTAAGTATAATGCACGAGCCACTGGCTCGCTGTATACGCACGCATATAACGTGTATGCGAATAGTTTTGCACTATTTTGCCCCGCTCGCTCATATTATACATACATCTGGAATTGCTCCATAAATCAGACAATCTCTTTCTCTCTCTCTCTCTCTCTCTCTCTCTCTGTTTCTCTGCTTAGCAGCAGCTGCTCAAGCTGGAGCAGCTCCGCAAGGCATTCCGAACTTGAGATAAGATCGTTTTCAAACGCGGACTTGGAGTTAATAATTTCTTTTTATAATACGCGAATATTTTTTTTTTTCTATACACACGGCTCTCTTGAGAGAGAGAGAGAGAGAGAGAGAGAGAGACTTTATGGTTTATTGCATTATTTTCCTATATCATGCGGGCTCGCGCAGCAGCAGCAGCAGACTTTTCTTTGTGTCAAGAGATATGCCCGCATGTGTGTATGTGTTAGTGTGCTAGTCTGTATTCACCCTAGGTGAGGTGTGGTCGATTATCGAAGATATAAGTCTCTCTTTCTATATTATATGCAGATACTTCTGACCCAGCAACATAGTATATAAACGAGTAAATGTACTACGCGTATAGCTAGATACAAGGTCAGCCTCGCGCGCAAGGAGCTTTTTTCCGGTACACGGGCAAGCGCGCGCGAGAGCCTTGTTAATTATTGCAATAGTTTTCCTTTTTTTTTCTTTCTCTCTGCTGCGTGTGGAATATGCATCGAATTACGACGCACTCAAGTATCGGATATCGCGAGCATTTTGTAATTTATTCGAGCAACGAGTGGGTTATTGCGCGATGCATATTATGCCGCACTCGTGGGGCATCAATATAAGTTTATTTTTCATGGCATCTCTTTCTCGTGATTTCGGTTCGGAAAATGAAACGGTATGGTGTTTATCGGCAAAAATATTGGAACAAAGAAAAGATCGGCGTGTATAAGTACATTAGCATGTGTACGTACACCGCCAATCGTACAAGTATAATATAGGAAAAGGTAAATGTCGAAACGAGCGTTATATACTCGTATAGACGTTTTAAAAAGATAAACGGCAATTGCTGCTGCTCCAGCTGCTTTCGACATCGCAACGGACAATACACCTCTCTTGGTAGGAAAATAAACGTTTAAAACAAGGAAAAAATAATTGACAAAAATGGAACTAGACGATAATAAAAATCTCGCTTGAAAATAATACTCGTACGCTGTGTATGTATATACGCGAGCAACTCCTTTCGCGAGAGACTAACGCAGACACAGCGAGAGAGAGTTACATCACTTCATCATTTATCAATGGCACGCAGACCTTTTGAGAAAGAGAGAGAGATTCATTGGATATGCAGACGAGAGAGACGTACACTCAACGAAAAAGCCACTTTTCTCGCGCATTTAATATATCATACGTTTTTGCCACACCGACACCGACGAGCCGCGACCCCGCTCTGCTCCGTGTGTATAAAATAAATGTAAAACGAGGTGCTCAATTTTTCTCTTATCACTTTCGCTGAATTATGAATTGCCATGAATTATATCGGGAGCTCTTTTGAATGGGGAAAAATATATCGTTGAATTTTAATCATTTTAATCGTGTATTTCCCCTTCGCAAACAAATATACCTCGTCGCAGTATGAAATATCGAAAGATTGCATGCGGGGTAACGAACCGTAACTGAAAAAAAAAACAAGAAAAATTATGAAAAGTAAAATGTTGATTGACATCGAAATGAAAACTCAACAAAAATAGAATTTTCATTGATCTCACGCTTGGATTTATTCGAAAAAATTGATGCGATAATTCAAAACACGGTGCAAATACATGAAGCAGCAAAAGCATACAAAAGACAGCGAAATGAGATCGAAGAGTTAAAACGAGGTGCCTGACGCAATCGTATACTCATTCTACTGAAATTAATTTTTTTTTCTTTCAACTTTTCGGATTCGCGTCGAAGAAGATCGAAAAGTTCGTTTTAAAGAGAATGAATAGCAGAAAAGTTCGACAATTACAGTAAAATAAACCGAAGTTTCAACGCGTATAAACCTTTGCAAATATAATTGAAAATAGCTGGCTTTTGTTAATCAGTTAGTAAGGCCAAAAAAAACGTTAGTCGTCTATGATAAAAACTATACGTTATGGATCCCCGTAGAGACAATCGCGCTATATACACAGGCTCGTGTATACTCACTTGGCTCGATACAGAGACCAAATGATCCTGTGCGCACAGCAGCAGCGGCGCTTATATATATGTCAACGGGAGAGAGAAAAAGAGAGAGAGAGTCTAGCCCCACTAACCCAGTGTGTGGTGGGTAGACGCGGCGCAGCCGTAGTGGGATTAATATACATTTTTCATAACTTTTGACAGAGCAGCGGCTGCATCGATGAGCTATATCAAGCCGTTTTTAATAATAATAACGTAACCATAATTGGCAAAGGTGAATATAAACAACGCGTCGATGACGAAAAGGAAGAGATTAAAAAATATTAATCGTTGTTTATAAGGTACTACTACTCTACTATGAGCCTATTACACGATCGAACAACAATTGTAATAGCATCGTCATTATTAAACAAAAAGTAATAATTGCTGATGAAATTCGAATCTTTTAGTACATCATATCGCGAGAACGAGTATACCAACACCTGCGCGTATAATATATTGACAAATGCAGTCGTTCATCGGGTTACTATATTAGTTGCGGCAGTCGAGCGCCGAGGTGGTGCAAAATATAATGCATGATTAATGACTCGACAATCTATCTAGAGGTAAGAAAAATCAACCTTTCCTTTTTCTCGTTTATGAAAAAATAAAATAAAATTCTTCATCGGCCTGATATCGTTTATTATGAATCGCAAAATTGATCACTTTTCGATTCTCCTCCGATGATGTCTGCTCCAAAATAAAAAAAAAAAACACAAGCCAAAACTGCGCATTAGTATTCAACGATCGCGAGCAAGCAAGGAAGCGACGCGGAAAAGAAAAAAGAAAAGAAAACGATTATCCAGACATCAAAGCGTCGTAAGTCTCTTGTGGTAGCTTTTGAAGGCACGTCTGAATGTCAATTGTTGTGTTTTCCGCGCGACTGCTTATTTCACGGCGCGCTGGGTATGCGTACCCGGGCTCGCTCTCCGTGGCTTTAGGTTGTAAGCGTAGACGTGTACCAATAATAAGCTTGTGTGTGTACTGAACCCAAGATCGTAATCGATTTTGTCGTACACGCGAAACAATGCACATACATAACAAATAAGACAGAAGCCGTTGTTGCACGGCTAATTTTCCAGTTGCTTCGATTTGATGCTTTCTTAATGATAAAAACATCGTGTACATGGGCCCTTCGGCGTCGGTAATATTTTCCAAGATCCCCAATAGTGGAAGCACATTTAGCATAGACTGAAAAACCTTCATAATTTCTTTATTAAAATACTACTTTTTCATTGTTCACTCAATAGTACTTTAGTTCACTCCTTCTATTTTTATTATATTTTTTGATCGTTTATTGCAAACTGGATGAAATATATATTTGCTCTAGTAAAAAATGACCGGATCGTCAATTTTCAATCACTTTAAATAGGATCGTATTACATTCAACCGTCACCACTAGATGGCGAGTACTCTCTTATCTGTAAATCTGCAAGTAGTAAAATGAAAAAAATTGTATAAGTCGAAGCGTGCTTTCCAGTATTGTCAGTATATCGAGTTGAGTGTGTTTGTGTAAAGTTTTTGAAGGATGTCATGGCTATTTAAAAAAAAAAATTATTCATTCTTACAGGCTAATAATGTGAATAGAAAATTTAAAAAAATCGAGTTCTTTGTTAACTCTACGAAAATCGAAGCTTTCGGGTGTACAGAAATAAAAATTTCGACAGTGACGCAATAAGTTAAAAATTACCGTCGTACAAGTTCGCTCGTATACCCGAACAAATGTCGAACAAATCGCGTATAACTTCTCTTTCTCCCCCTCTTGCCAGCCATAACACAAGCGAACTTGTCTTTTTGCTCTATGAGTACGCAGTTAAAAAAAGATACCGCACTAATAAACCTCTCTCGGCTCGATATTTGCATAAACGTATATCGCTGCGTGCATGCGTGTATCATGCGTGGCACGTGTAAGCTGGCGCGAACCCACTGATCCATATAAAGAAAGACTTACTCTCTCTCTCTCGGCAGATCGGAGAATGACAAAACCGTTGTGTACGCGCGTGATATTAAATACGCCGACACAATGGTGCGTGCGCATGATATGCACAACATGAGTGCATTATATGGGTGTCGTTGTATAGGATAGGGTACATACAATCGTGCATGCCGAAGTCACAACAACATACACGCGAGCTCCACGTGGGCCATACTACAACTCGAGAGAGAGAGAGAGAGAACAAAACTCGTTTTTCCCATTGCAGCTTCGCTCGGTGTGTGTCTGTGTATACGCGTATATGTATCTTTAATGCCTGCACACACACTGATTGCGTCAGCGGCGGTACCTTCCTACATTATATGCTCACACGTTCGATGTACTCTTCTCTCAGTGTGGCGGTATCATCCTCTGCTGCGCGACCTCGACCTCGGCGTAGCTCCGAAGTTTCGCGATCTCGCGAGCTTGCGACGATCGGCACTGAACAAGCGGCACACATGTAATCAAGGTCGCTGCACAGGCTCTTCTCGCGCCCGCCAACAATCGCACAGCAGCAGTGGCAGCTGCTGCCAGGCACACTTGCACCGCACCGCTATTACAGCGCATTATTATTCATCCTCTTCTCGCGCTTTCTCCCCCGCCTCCCTCGCTCGGGCTCAGTTTCATACGTGCGTGTGTGTAAATGTGTGTGTATTTGTAAGCATAATGCAGGTCGATGTCGTGCTCTCGACCTTCTTCACACTGTAAGGCGCACTCGCGAGCGAACGAGAGAGATAGTTTGACTTAGATAAGGCAAATTAGAAAGGCGCGTTACATGTGTGAGATGTGTGTGTGTGCGCGCGCACACGCGTGAGCAATATTATTATTATATACCCGCGACTACCGTAAAGCTGCTAATCGTACGCGCGTTGCCGCGACTTTTCACACCCATTCATCGATTGTGCGCTAATCGAGAAAAATATTTTTAATTATTTTTTTTTTGTTTTACATGAAAATCTACCGAATCGTTGATTGGTATTTAAATGAATATTTACACGAGTACAATGCGCATACCAAATATAGAGGGGGATCTAAACAACGAGCGAGAATTCCAACGCGGCAACGTCAACCGCGCAGCCGTTCGTTCGAAATTGAAATTAGTCGCGTAAACGACAATTATTCGGAGCGCAGTTCGCGGGCGGCTGCGCTCTGCACGTATATTTGCATAGCGCGCAAGCACACAGACAGACACAAATATGTGTTGATATAGCAGCAGCAGCAGCCGATGATACAATAACAATGGAATTTCGGGATAAGTATCGCGAGCTCGCAGTCGTTATTTTTTCTTACATATGCCCTAGCGACGACGACCGATCTATCGTCGATCGAATCTATACGCGCCCGACCAACGAAACATAATTCATTATTCGTGTCCCGAGCGAGAGTCGAGTTATATGCGCCGCACGAGCTTGAAATTTTTTCGAAACCCAAAATTCAGCCACTACCATCGATATCGGGATTTTTCTTTCGAGCGGATACATGGCATGATATACAGACTGTGTGCACCAGTGCAGTGTAGTTGTCGATAGACCTAATCGATTAGAAAAATGTTCGGTTACTACTACTATTACTACTACTACTACTTCTCGCGGGTACAACAACACTTGCGCACGCAAAATTACATAAACTTTTAACTCGAGCAGATCTACGCGCGGCTTAATAAGAGCGTGTATGCACAAAGCAATATAAATCATTGCGAGTCGAGGGGTCCGCGTAATATATGGTGTGACGGTGATGTAAAAATAAGATGCCGTGAGGTGAAAAAAAATTTCGATTTTTATCACCGCAAGCTCGAAGATCGAGAGCTTTCGTTATGCGCGAGTCCGGTTTGTTATACTCATTATTATTATCTCGTACTTTTGGGCATATGACAAAGATTACCGTCTTATATTTCAAGAGTCTACGACTTTAGGAGTCTAGGTCACGATTTTACCGAATATGTTCAAAGTTGCATGTGTTATCGCATTCGCTGATGCAACATTACCTGCGCTTACGATCATTCCCTGCTTCTCGGTGCATTTGAGCAATCACCACCATGCGCCAGGCGCATGAACGCGACCTTCCTTCTCTCCCTCTTTCTCTCTTTCTACGTTATACATATGATGCTATCCTAAAAAGAAAATGCACATCCACCAAAAAACAGAGAGAGAGAGATCTTTTTGAGCTACAAAAAGCTGGAAGCTCGATATTGGAGATCGCGCGGGGGTGGGTTCGTATTTTTCGGATTTCAGCACTATGGTGCAGCCGCAGCGGCAAAAAAAGAAAGATGAAAGAGCCGAATCGCACTAGCGAATCCATCCGAGAGTGACAATTTTCGCGGGTACGCCACAGCGGCAGCGGTGTGTTGTAAGGCGTACAAGATCATCCCGCGAACACGTGCTACGAGGAAAAAAAGTGCCGAGATCTGCAGGTAGCACAGCCAAGACATAGCCCGCCAGCACGCCGACGACATCGAGTTTGCAAGCTCGTTTCGCTGACAAAGGCGTATCTATCTCTCTCTCTCTCTTATACACGTTGGCGCAAGCATGCCTGCCTATATTGCTATCCGCTGCTCTCCTGCGCGCGATAGCTAATCGTTCGTTGCGCTGCTGCTGCTGTGCACGCAGAGAATGCGTGTGCTGCACCAGCCTTCGTTGCTCCGCCCAGGGGCAGGGGTTGCTCATGCAGCCTAGCGCTAAACTTGGTGCATGTGCAAAGGTCGCTGATTATTGCGTGAGCCAAAAGTGCCAGCCATCTCGGCGGGTATATAAGCTCGACCGATCTACCGTTAATTCGTCAATAACAGTTCAGTTCAGCTTCTCAGCTCAACCAAGCAAGCACCCAACACTCGTTCAAAGATGAAGACTGTCGCAGCTCTGCTTCTCGCCTGCCTGTCGGTGGCCTCCGCGGCCCCGTCGCTCCTCGGACACGGCATCGCCCTGGCCGGCCCAGCCACCGGACCCAACAGCCTCGTGGGACCGTCCAACGGCCCGTCGGCCCTCGCTGGCCCAGTGGTGGGCCCGTCCCGTCTGTCCGGTGCCGTCGATCTCGGTGCCGTGGTCAGCGGTGCCGTGGCCGGACCCTCGGCCATCATTCCCAGCGTCAGCGCCGGTACCGCCATCGTCGGACACGGATACGCACCTCTCGGTCTGGGACCCCTCGGACTCGGACCTCTCGGCCCTCTTGGTCTTGGTAAGTTTCATTTTTTATTTTATTTAAAGATCGACATGAAAGAATACGACTTATTTTATTTTATAATTGTAATTATAGGACACGGAGCTGTGTTGGGCGGTCCCATCGTCGGCCCGGCTCACCTCGCCGGCCCCATCGCCCCGGGTGCCCTGATCGCCGGCCCAGCTGGCGTGATCCGCGCCGGTCTGCCCGTGCCCGGTCTGATCAACGGACTCTGGTAAATTTGGTGTATCATACCTCAACAACAACTGCCAACAATTGCCATTGAACAACAACCCATCCTCTTCTCTTCTTTGCGAGGGGAGAGGGTGCGATCGTCGTCTTATCGCTGCCATAATGTCTAATAGTTACGAATGCCACCATGTCAAATCTCATCGACGCGCGCCCAATTTATCCGTGCGCGTGTTCATTTTTTTTCATAGAAAAAAATCAATTCATTTGATGTATGTCGACCGAATGAGAGTGAATAACTGCAGCTGTTAGCTATACGATCTCCATATATTTATTATAATTATTATTATTACTGTATCTCTGCGTCTGTTTGTTTCCTTCTCTATTATGTTTTCTTCGTTTCCTCCTGCCTCTTCGACAAAAAAAATTTTGTCCTGTATTCCTATGTGATACACCTTCGTCGGTGTGTCTACCTATCCTATTATATTTCTCTCTCTATTTTTTCACACCCGTGCCTCCTACACACAATTTTGTATACACACAAACACACCTGTTCATATGTACAAATCAAATGCAGAAAAACTCTTTACCATCCCATATTGTATAATCCATTTGCAAATACACTTTTTTATGCACGAACAATAAAAAATGCATTACTGTTTCATAAAAAAAAATAATACGATTGACTTTTTATTTCCCACACGTATAAAATTCATCAAAATATATAAATTCAATGCAGAAGACGAATCGTATAAAGAGCATTAATTGCCACACGCAAAAAGGTATTTCGACACTTTGGTCGCGCGTCGACGCGTATATAATAATGTATCTCGCGATCCGCCAGTCAATAAGTGCAGTTCGCTGTACTCTTGTGCATTTTTGTAATTTCATCACTGGATATACTCGCGGGATAAAAGCCACAAATACCATAATATCGTGCGATCGGTTTCAATGAATTAAAGCGATTCTTGAGTTCATACACCACTGATAATGTTTGCGATTATAGAAAATTTTTCCGATCCCGCGTACAGGCCTATAAATAAGAATAATCGAGTCGTGTCACCAAATTTGTAAATCGATTTGTTACTCGTCAACATTGTGTACATAATAGATCACGTTGATGAGTCTTTCCTCACACATCGTTTTTCCATGATGATGACTATTATATACGCGACACCGGGGCCCGAGAGTTATTAAAGGAAAATGACGATATGCGTTGCACACGACGCAAGGCTACTCCGCTAAACCTATGCGTCCAATTATTATTCCACTGGGTTACGCCCATCATAGTTCCCCATAAAAAAGGAGATTGCCATAGTCGGCGAAACTGCGTGGGCTTCCGCTCGCGCGAGATCTCGCAAAGTCAAGTTAAATAAAGTCGCGTCTGCGCGAGCGAAGGACACACGTCATCGTCGTCATCGTCTAACGCCTATATGTACATCGAATATGTATTATACGCGACTATATTACATAAAAATCACGCGTGTCGACCATAAAAATGGAAAAAAAAATATTAAGAGCACACATATTCATACATATTAATCGAGGGTAGCATCGGAAGTCGTCGTATTTTATTTCTCTATATACACTCGCGCCTATAATACGAATGCGAATGGATCGTCGTCGCGTATCGGAAGTGTGCGATTCCTTACGCATTAAAATGGACGATTCTGGCGCGCGCGCACACACAACATAATAAGCTCGTTAAGCGCCACCGCATCGTAATAATGTATAGCCTGTTAGTAGGTGTTAGGAATAGTCATATAGTGTCCAAAGCGTCTCTCTCTCTCTCTCTTTCTCGCGTCTGTTTGCGTGTTGTGAGATGTTGTTTCTTTTATTATGTTTTTTTTTTTTTTTTATTGAGCCACTGTGTCGAGCGACGTCCTCGTTTTTGCATCTCTCTCACTCTAGCTTCTCATAATGCGTCAGCATCAGCAGCAGCAGTGGCAGCAGAGAGATTCAACGAGGCGTGGTGGCGAAGACATTATTATTTATTCTTCTCTTGATGAATACGCGGGTGGGTATATTATAAAAAGATTGGGCTTCGGAAGAGAGATGATCAGTCCTCGCGAGGCAAGTCGACAACGATGATCGGCTAAACGCGCGCCTTTTGTAACCCTTTTTTTTGTACTATCTCGTCGAACTTGCAGTGCTTGTGCTTGAATCATGTATATTTCGGTAAGTGTGCCCCTCGTGCTTCCCGTTAACAGTGTCGCTCTAGTTCTGTTTTTGTGTGTGGGTGTGTGGGTGAAAAGTATTTCAAAGGATACATAGCTGTGTGCATTTTTGTGATACTAAAATCGCGATTGATTTTTTTGTCGTTGGACGCGCCTAGTTGTTAATCGTTCACTGTGGTACCGGTAATATGGAAAAATGCGTGAACAATGGAGATTTTGATAGGTATTTTTAATGCGGCTATTCGAGAGGACGAAAAATCGAGTTTTCCCATAAATATGACTCATACTGAATCCAAGATTGACAATGACGAAATCATACGAAATTCTTCTGGGACTCTTTTTTTGATTTTAGGATATCGGATTTTTAAAAAATAAATCGACAAGGGTTGAAAAAAAATTATACCATAAATAATACCGTTTAAAGTGAATGTTAAACTATACTAAGAAAAAAAGTCACTAAATACATAGTAATCGTAGCATACACTCAAAAATTATCTTAAAAAAATTGGTTTGCCATAAAGCGTAAACAGATTTGAATTCAGTTTCCACAGTAAGTAAGTGAAACGAGAAAAAGCTTGCAGTATTCGAGATTTGCTGAAAGCTCTACAATTAATGACGCGCTTTGATTTTCTCCAAAAATTTATTGATTTTCGAAACCTACAGATTGTTTTAACATATTGAAATAACATTGGATGAATTATCATATTATTACACAAATAAACTTTTTCAAAATATTTTTACAAATTATGCTTTGAATTTTTTACGTTTATGAGGTTGTAACACGTGAGCAATGCATCGAATCAATGTGAACTTTAAGATTTCTTTTTGTTGTGAATTTCTTTCCACAAGTATTACACGCATATCTGACACCATTATGAACTGTTTCGACGTGGATTTTAAGACTCCTTTTCTGTGAGAATGTCTTTCCACAAATATGGCATGCTTGTATAGTACCATTCTGAACTTGATCAATGTGCATTTCAAGAGTATACTCATAGGTGAATCTCTTTTGGCATTCATCGCATGTATGTTTGATATTATTGTGCATCGAATCAATATGAATTTTTAGAGTACATTTATGTAAAAAAGATTTTCCGCATATATGACATAAGTGGGTGACACCATTATGCATCGAATCTATGTGGGTTTTAAGACTACTTTTCTTTGTGCATTTCTTTTCGCAAATATTACATTATTCATGATTTTATTATGTACCCAATCGATGTGTTTTTTGAGATCAGCTTCCCATGAAAACTTCTTTCCGCATGTATCGCATGCATGTCTGACACCATTATGTACCGTATCGATATGATTTTTTAGTTCAATCTTCCATGAAAACTTCTTTCCGCATGTATCGCACGCATGTGTGACACCATTGTGCATTACTTTGATATGGCTTTTGAGATTATCCTTTCTTGTGAATGTCTTTTGGCATATATCACATGTAAGTGTGATACCGTGGTGCACCGAATCAATGTGGACTTTGAGATGATCTGTTCGTGCGTATGACTTTCCGCAAATATGGCATGCTTGTGTGATTTTACTATGAACCGAATCGATGTGAGATTTGAGACTACTCTTCTGGGTGAATGTCTTTTGGCATATATCACATATATGTATGACACCATTATGCGCCGTATCGATATGATTTTTTAGTTCAATCTTCCATGAAAACTTCTTTCCGCATGTATCGCATGCATGTCTGACACCATTATGTACCGAATGTGGATTTTGAGATAACATTTTTGCTTGAATGTCTTCGTGCATATATTACATGTATGTGCGATACCATGATGAGCCTTATCGATGTGGTTCTTGAGACTCCGCTTGGTTGCGTATGACTTTACGCATAAATCACATGAGTGGGTAATACAATGATGTAATGATTTGACATGCCTATCCAGAGTACCCTTGGTCGAGCAATTTTTTCCGCAAGTATCACATGTATGGAAGGTATTGTTTTGCATAGTTGCACCCACATTTGTTTTGAGGTTATGTTCGTCGTTACGTTTTTTAGTAATTTTTCTTTCTTTAATTTGTTCGGTAATTTTGCAGGCGTTATTCACATTCGATTCCACGACGTCACGAAAAAATTCCTGTTGCACTTTTTCTGTGGTTTTCATTTTAATTATGTTTTGAGTTTCATAATCTTGGTTATATTTCATATCCTGCAGGTAATTTGAAAAATTATCGTCAAATTTCTCAACTGTTAATAAATTAATATTGAGTTTGACGTCTTCACATTCAACAACTATTTCCACTTCGCCGTCAAGTTCATTTTTATGATTGACGTCACATTTTCGAAAGGTATAGTTCTGTAAAAAATTACATCCATGAGAAATAATTTATCAAAAAACAACTACAAAGTGAGTTATATATGATCATCAACACTTACTGAATTTTCTCGTAGAGATGGTAAGAGCTGGAAGTTTTGAAGATCGGGTTTCTCGTCAATTACTTCACGGTTATTCTCAGACAGTGGCCCATCTCTACGTTCTTCTTTAACTTTTACACAAGCCCAATTAACTATATCGCTGAATTCCATAATTCTCACTGTTAATTTTCTGACCAATTAATCTTTCTGTGCCTATCGAAATGACTATACTAAAAAACTAAGGAAGACTGCTCTGCTCGCAATATTTTGAAAAACTGTGACTATGCTCAAAGTTCAGGTTATGTGCTATCAACTCAGTACTGAATTTTTATGTATCGCAGCGCTATCGCATACACCGCAAAACGTCGTATCGATGAATTCACAAAGAGGTCATGAATGAGATGCAAGACGTAAAAATTTGAACGAAGACATTGATACTGACCAGTTTTTCTATGTAATTTAACTTCAATTCAATGTTATTTACAAATGATGTGAACGAATTTTTGAAATAATCAGTTTCAAAATAAAGTCATTATGATTTTATCAATAAAGGAATAACATTATGTATCTCATGCCCGATGAATAGTAACAATTTTTTATCAATGATTTGTCATTATAAAAAAGTGAGAAATTAGCAAAATGTTAATAGCAAATTTCATAAAGGTACATTGTAAAAAATGCTTTGCAGAGAAGTAGCATTTTTATGAGCATTTTTGAGTATATCACTCGGATGTTAGAAACATAGTAATTTTTAGTTTTTACGAAACTTAAATTTTTTACTCGACCACGATCAATTTGACAGGAAAATATTATACTATAAAAGCGTTAAAAATCGATAAAGAATTTTAAACATTTTAAATAACTATAAAATTATTGCAATATTTAGAATACTAAAGTTGTGCGAAAAATTCTAAATTAACCCAAACGTAATATCTGAATTTTAATAGCGAAATCTCAATTTAAGTGTCATTTTTCGATACCTTATGGTGTTTTTCTTATAATCGATGTAATCTTATTGCAAACAAAAATAATAAACAATAATAAAAAAATATTAAACAAAAATACCTAACAAAAATTGTTGTGTTCTCGCGTTATTCAACAAAAATTCGAATCGCTATTTTCCCTGGGAATTTTGACGATTCTTTAATACAATTGCTAATATACCATAAAAGTCATGAACCCGTTTGGCTGGCCCATCGATGGATTCATCGTTGGTCGGATCGAACGCACTTAGCCACCTATGCACCCATATACATAATCTATGCTAATGAACGAATTATCCATCGCTCTCGGATATATACATTACATAGTCGAGCTTGCGGTAGCGCATTAACTTATACGTTCGATTTAATCAGCGCATAGTTAAGAAGGGGAGGGAGGGAGAGCGACCGGTAGCTCACGCGAATTATCAAGCTTGCGGCTGATTATAACTAACGCGACATCGAGACGTGATACAGCCACGGCTCTCGTTAGTTATATACCTATATCGATTATATTATAAATTCAGAGGTGCAACGTCGTGTCAAGGAATTTCGGACGAGTAACTTTTGCCTATATAATAATAATATGCGCTGCACACACAATGGCAAACATATGAGACGCGCGCATACTCAAGCCGTAAAAAAGATACCTTAGCCACGGTATTTAGTACGTAGAAAATAGCTATAGAGACTGCTGCTGTTGCTGCGCGCACCCACGCGACGACAACTGTCACGCGTGTAAAAGCATAAGTCTCGAGCGCGCGCAGCTACAGACCCATAAGAAAAGTCAATCTCGCGCGCGCGGGGGCGTATACAGCTCTCTGCTGCGTAGCTGTCTCTCTTATATAACCGTGTTATGCAAATTTTCGCAGACGTCGTCGTCGTCGTCGCGCAGATTAGGCATTATACTCGCGACATGGCACGCGTATACCACCGCGAGTAAATGCGTTACTATTAGAGGCGAATGCAGTACGGTACGAGGGGGATGAAATTATTGTACCGACGATTCATGTTGCCGAAATCCGTACGAGTGATTAGCTTTTGCGCGCAATTGTAACGTGTGCGAGTGCTTACTCGCGCATTTCGCGTTTCCATTTTAATGAGCGTAGATGTATGTAGTCTCCTCGCGCTGCGCTGTCAAGGTTGTTTACATACCTACACACGCACAATGCTAAATGGCAGAGATGTTCCCTGAGAAATTATCATTATGTTATATTAGTAATTGCGAGGATGAGCTTTTATAAATCGTGAGAGAAGTCCTACATCGTACGAGCGATACGATTCGAAACTATATCTCGAATAACCATGTGAAAAGTAAACTTTATAAACCTTCGGTTGCATTACGTCGATACATCGTACGTCGCTTATGGATTCATCAAAATGCAATTACGTTATATTATTGTACACAGCTCATTGTTACAGCGCGGCGTCGAACGAAGAAAAAATAAAGGTGCAACAAATAGTTGAGCCTCGTCGCGCTCCGCTGCACTGTCAAGCGTATAATGATACTTGTAGGACTAATGGGTATGCATAGCTTGTGCCGCGTTAGTTAGTTTACGATCCCACAGTTAGTAAATAAGCAAACAGCCAAGTATGCGATAAGCCGCACGCGACGAATGCCTTCGAGGGAAGATACGCGTGGTTTAATGTCACGGTGCGTTACTATGAACGAAGAGAAACAACGAGCGAGTGCGTCTATGCTCGCGAGAGAGAGAAAGTACCGCTTAGTTCGCCGGATAAACGACGAATACTTTGCGAGTGAGATATTCTCTTATGATTTGCAGCCAATATTGTCGGGCGTGCTGCTGCTGGCCTGGGGCACGCAGGCTAGTGTCTGGCCCTATCATCACGGCGGCTCGTCGTCGTCGTCGCACGATGGCGCGGTGATCGTCAACGGTGACCACGCGTCCCATCTCCATCGTCAGGATGGATACGTCGTCGGCACTCTGGCGAGGCATCCGATCGTTGTCGCGGGCCCCAATCAGCTGCCCAGTGGTATGTATTTTTTTTACTGCGCTATTGAAAAAAAAATTTAGATTCAACCCAGAATCAATGTAAAATTAAACTTTAAGTTTTAGTGATCGATGATGAATTTTATCAAAGGTTACGCTTTTACATGAAATCTTCGTCGAAAATAAATGCGTTAGTACTGAAAGTACAAAAAATGTATGAAAAGGAAATCACATGCGCTCATTTTAATAAAAAAAACTTAAAAAAAGAGATTTAACTCTTTTTTCAAATTTAAACATTTTGATGGAAAATTAATGCTTTAGTACTGATTTAGTTTTTGTATAAAAGTAATTGTACAAAAGATTATAAAAATGTATTCAAATACTGAAAAAAATATTAGGGGCGAATCCATGAAAAATGGGCAGCTGTATCAGAAACGGCTACTTTGCTGCCACAACAAAATTATTGGACTATATTTCGCTGCTAAATTTTGCAGAATTATTTTGCTGTGGCAGCAAAGTGGCTGTTTCTGATCCAACTGTCGACTTTTGATGTGCAACTTTTGATCGCACCTAAGATTTTTTTCAGTGTAATTAGAGCCAGCCTTCACCACTAGATGGCAAGTACCTTTATTGGGAAATCTGCGAGTGGCAAGTCAAAATAATTTTATAAGTCAGTGGATGCAGTGGATGTATGTACCCAATCACTTTTTACATCTTTGTTCTTATTTTGCAACATTTTTTTGAAAACCAAAATAGTTCTTAGTAACATATGCAGTAAATTTAGATTTAATTCCGAGGCCATACTGTAACGATGCATGATGTTTATACAAATAAAACTAATAAATTAATCAAATCGACATTCTACATTTAAAATATAGAAAATGAAAAAAAACTTCACGAAAATTATTTTAAAGGTGGAGAAAGTTAGTTTCCTTCGTCTGCATGAATCTACTTTTTCGCGAAAAATTTACAATTGATATCAGTTGAATAAAATTTCAAGATTTTTTACATTAAATTCAATGTAAAATTCATGTTAAATGATTATTTACGAAAAACTACTTGAATTTAAGTACGCTTAGTTTTCATGATTTCAAATGCAATTGAATTTACCCACGTGGAGAAAATGTTTGACAATGCCATAACATACGTAAATTTTAACGTTCAAAAAAGTATAAACATTCAATCATAATTGAAGACAGCATTTACCAGTAGATGTCGAGTACTTGAATCCGTAAATCTGCAATAGGAAAAGTAACAATAATTCTATAAATGAAGTAGTGTTAGTCAATAAAACGTTTTAAAATTCTCAACCGTTATTACCCCTGCATTGTTCCAGCTGTGATAGGACCCTCGCAAGGTCCGGTACTGGTGCAGGGACCTCAGCAAGGCTCGGTCGCGGTGGTCGGCCCGACCGACGGAGGAGCCCGAGTCATCGGGCCGAATTCCGGCGGAGCAGCCATCATCGGCCCGTCCAGCGGTGGCGCCCAGGTGGTCGGCCCTAACGCGGGCGGCGCCACGATCGTGGGTCCCGGCGGTGGCAGGATCATCGCCCCGGCCCACGGCCCGGCCACCATCATCGGCCCGACCCACGGCGGTGCCAGCATCGTCGGACCCACGGACGGCGGCGCCCAAATCGTCGGCCCGGTCGATCGCGGAGCTACCATCGTCGGCCCCGTGGATCGCGGCGCTACGGTGATCGGAGCCAAATCGACGGGCTCCAGCATCGTCGGAGCTGCTCACCATCATCACGACGACGACTGCACCGGTGGCGGCGGCGGCGTCGAGGTCAGCAGTCATCACAGCTCGCACTCGGACTCGCAGGCCCACTCGGAGGCTCACAAGGAGGAGCACCACCAGAACCACGTGGTCACCCAGCCGATCTACATACAGTCGCCACCAAAGACCGTCTACTACAAAGGTTCCGTGAACAGATACGTTGCCGATATCGCCGCGTGCTTTAGGCTATGTTTGAATAACCCGCTGTATAACTACCTGCTCTGAGCCGGAGCGACGCTGCTATCTACCATATATCTACCGCTGTTGCTGTTGCTGATACTCAAACCACTGCTGCCGCTGCTGCGACGTAACCCATTTTTTGTGTAAATAAACGATATAACGATTAAAACATCTTAACTCTGCAAGCCAGCTCCGCGACAATAACCGTAGTTTATAGGCTAACCCACCCCCCCGTTCTCCGCAGAAATAATCCACGAGCCACCGAGGTACGTCGCCCATCATCACCAGACGCACTATCATCATTCTCCCCCGCAAAATCAGCTGGAAGTGGTCTGCGACCCAGCCGTGGCGGGTCTCTCCGCTTCGGCGGCGGTGCGCGCCATCGCCGAGGCCGGTCTGCGCCACGGACCCGTCCACGTGTCCACGGTTCACGGCCGACCGGTCATCACCCTCTCCGGTCCATCCTCGGGCGGTCATCATCTTCAGCACCTCGTGTCGTACTCGGGACCTCAGCGTGTCATCGCTCACACGTCGCCCGTCAGCGGGGCTCTGCTGGTGAGTGCGGGACCCGCCGGAGTCAGCAGCCACAGCTCGTCCTCGTCGTCGTCGTCGTCGGCTCACGCCTCGGCCTCGTCCTCGTCGCACTCGGACGATCATTGGGCTTCCAAGAGATTCTACTACCCTTGAAAACGAAGAAACTTTGTATCAAATTTTTCGCTGATATACCATACGTGTAGATTTAAGTTTGAAAAAAGAGAGGCTTTTAAAAAGCCTATAATAAAAATCGAATGAAAATTACTCTTGCGTTTTTTTTTATTGGAGCTTGTACCAAAAATAGATGAAAATTCTCGTTATACGAAATGCTTATGTCATCGCAAGTAGCTACTTCAATGCATTACCATCATCCTTTGCGTATACGTACAGCTAAATATAAGTATATGCAAGCGAAGGGTTTTTATCTCGAGTATACCTGCACAACGACGGCAAAAAAACGTCGATAACTCGTCGTAATAGAGAGAGCACTTTAGCATTTCTCGGCATGTATATGGGCGACACACACACGCTCACGCGTCGTCGAAAACTTTATTCGAATCTTCCCCCCATACCTTGGGCCCGGCGTCGTCCTATTCACCTTGCTTATATATATAAACCTTATGGAATATTTATTTTTTGTTTCACGCCGAGATGCCGCTGCTGCACCACCTATATATGTTTAAGCCGCGGTTCAGAACTTCCACCTTCGTACACGTACACGTATAGTGGGAGTTTTCTAGCTTACTTAAGATGCATACATTGTACACGGCTATGTTCACTGTAGCTGCTGTTAAGGCTGCCGAGACGCCGCCGCGCCCGAAAAAGGGTTTATTATATACATACACGTAGGTACATACGCAAGGTGCAACACAGCAGCAGCAGCAGCTTCGTACCTATGTATTTTCTACACAACGACGACGACTACGACTAGCATGACGACATACGTATATATAGACGCAGCAACAGTAGCAGCAGACTTTCTTGAGTAACTTCGATATTTTCATACGTAATGAGAAAGTTTTCTTCGAAGGAAAATTCGAGCGCATGAAGTGTAACTCCCGTGAATGGTGTGTACAACTTTTTTTTTCCTCTGCAGCCGAAAAAGCCAAGCCAACACCCCCTCGAACTAAAGTGCCAAAGTCAGGTGCCGATGTTTCGAGCTAAATACTTATTTACTCTCGCTCTCCCGCCTGCATCTTGTACAGCAGCAGTAGCTCGCGCAAAACTTTGAATGAAAAATTTTCCAGCCGTGTCGTGTTGTGTGTCGCGCATAGAGCAAAAATGTTTATACGTGCGCTTGTATGTTGCGTTGGGTATAACATATAAGTGTATTCGTGCTGCATGATGCTGCAGCCGTACGCAGTATACGTATACGAGATGATAAAACAAAGGCGCGCGTACAATTGAAACGACGTCGAAGAAAATCACTTTCGATTTATAAGTTATTAAGGCGAAAAAGAAGGAAAAATAATAATACGAGATAATGTATAAGTATTACCCGTCACTTTTCTCATAATAATAACGAGATATACGAGTACGCTGCCGCTTATAACTATGAGAAAAAATACACACATACGTATGTGTATACATACGTGCTCACTTACCGGCTATATACGAGATCGTATGCGGATTAGTACTCATTATCTTGCCAAGCTTTCATAATTCAATCCTCGCGTGCGCACACACATGTGTGCTGCTGCAGCTGCTGCTATAATATACTTGGCGAGCTTTTACAATATAATTTATAAAATCTCAATTTTTTTCATTTCGCGTTCGACGTCGTAATAAAGCGCTTTTGTAATGAAACGCAGCCGATTGTAATTACAAAATATTACGGATAAATCAATCTCTCGTAGTCTCGCGTCCTTTCTTTCTCTATGCTGTTTATGAATGGAAGAGTGAAAAAAATCACGTTCAATTATCTCGGAGGGAAAACACGATTAACAGCCCTTTTTGATCCTGCTCTCGCCCGTGCAAAAAGGGATTTTTGCAAGCAACTTGACTACCCCCGTGTGTACACCGCGTTTATATAGCGCATGCGACCCTGCGTGCAGCCCACGTATATATACACAGATATATATATTGGGATATATACAAAGCATGTTCTCACCTCGGAGACTCATTAGAGCTGTAAATCAAAAATAACGAGATGACGGAGTTTGTGCCTCGCGCCGCGCTCACTACTCGGAGCTTGAAGAGAGAGAGAGAGAGAAGCACGAAATATTGGATTATCAAAAAATTGCTGCTGCTGCTGCGTCGAGATCGAGAAGAGCGTGCGGCCAATGCAGTGCTGATTTTTTCGTTTATTATTTGTTTGAAAATTGTAGAGACAGATAAAAAAAAGTAAAAAAAATTATTCGCTTAGGGTTTAGGTTGAAAATGAGAGAGATATTACGTTAAATTGTAAAATTTTAGAAAATACAGCTCACAAACATTAATAATGGCGTCATGACCATTTAAAATTTTTTTGAATGTATAAACAGTAATTGGCTTGTTTTTTTTTTGTGATTTACACATTTTTTAATTGGGTCAAAAAATTTAGACCAGATATTAAGATGATACTACTTCAAGCCTTCCACCGTTAGGTGGCGAGTACCTTTATCTGAAACTCTGTAAGTGGTAAAGTGAAATCTATGCTAACTAAATCTAAAGAATTGAAACTGAGACATATCAAGTATTTGACAAGATTACGTTTTTAGACTTTAAACATTGAGTCAACTGTGAAGATTCAAGTCGAACTCGAGGTTCAACCTGACGGTGTAGTGGGGTGTAGTGTAGTGGGGGGNTGTGGGGGGGGGGCTCTGCCTATGCCAGCTCACACGTAACTATAATTATGATGATTATCGCGCCTCTTAAAACAGAAACAATCTCTAATACGCTAGATTCACGCTTGAGGTCGTTCGTGTGTAAAATAGACATAATAAATGATTTGTGTAAGTCTCGATTGAAAAAAACGATAATTTTTTTTTTTTTCAATTCAATTGTTTTCATGAATTATAGTTTTTCTTTAATAAATTCGGAGTCATATCAGCTCCGAATTTTTCAGGGTCAAGATTACTCCGAATTTAGCCGAGCCGTAACTGCTCCGGATTTAACGTAACAGCGATTGCTCCGTTTTTTCGGAGTCGCGTTTGCTCCGAATTTTTCGGAGTCGCTATTTTTCGATTTTCTTTCGCCTTTTGGCTCCGATTTCCAAGTCTTCAGTAGTATAGTGGTCAGTATCCCCGCCTGTCACGCGGGAGACCGGGGTTCGATTCCCCGCTGGAGAGATTTTTTGCTTTTGTAAGCCATATTTTGAATAACGTCGTCAAAATCACTTACTTTTAGGTCTCGTTCTGTATTTTTTATAAAAAAGTTAATTTTTGACTCGTTCGAGGCAATAATCTCAACTATTTGTCAATCGTTTAGACCGTTGTCTCGCTTATTTTTACCACCAAATACAACGTCCAATGTACCAAGAATGGCTACAATATCAGCCAACATGTGACCTGGACCCATCTTTTGTAGAGCTGCTAAGTGAGCAAAACCTGGAGCCTTAATTTTACACCTATATGGCCTTGAACTGCCATCACTTACAAGGTAAACTCCGAATTCTCCCTTTGGAGCTTCAATAGCTGTATACGTAGAGCCAGGGGGTACTTGGTAACCTTGAGTAAACAATTTAAAGTGATGGATAAGGGCCTCCATGCTAGTTTTCATTTCCTGTCTCTTGGGTGGTGCAATCTTGGCATCGTCTGTTCTGATTTCACCGGTAGGCATCTGATTCGAACATTGCTCGATAATTCTCAATGACTGTCTCATTTCTTCGATGCGGCAAAGATATCTGTCATAACAATCTCCTTTGTGGCCAATTGGAACATCAAAGTCAACAAGATCGTAGGCATCATAAGGCTCTGCCTTTCTGATGTCCCACTTGATACCAGATCCTCTGACCATTACACCACTGAAACCATAATTCAGAGCGTCTTCTGCAGAAATCACACCGATATCTTTGGTTCTCTGAATCCAAATTCTGTTTTCAGACAACAGATCTTCTACTTCGTCGATTCTCTCTCCGCACGTGGAGGCCCAGTCGTAGATGTCGTCCATGAGACCAAGTGGCAGATCGAGTGCCACACCACCGGATCTTACATAAGCGGAGTGCATGCGAGCACCGCTGGCTCTCTCGTAGAACTCCATGAGCTTCTCGCGCTCCTCGAACAGCCAGAAGAAGAGCGTCAGGGCGCCGATGTCCAGGGCGGTCGCGCCGATACCCATGATGTGATTGAGAATGCGAGTGAGCTCGGCGTAGAGGGTGCAAATGTACTTGGCTCGTAGGGGCACCTCGATGTTCAGCAGCTTCTCAATGGCCATCGAGTAGCACTGCTCATTGCACATCATCGAGACGTAATCGAGTCGGTCGAAGTAGGGCAGCGCCTGGGTGTAGCTCTTGTACCTCGCCGTCGAGCTCGAGAATGAGACGCAGCACGCCATGAGCCGCGGGATGCTGGGGCCCGAAGTTGACCTTGATGTTCTTGATGGTCCTCTCCGAGGGCAGCTGCTCCTTGAGGTAGGGCTCGAACTTCCACTTGGGCAGATTGGGGTCGGGTATCCATGTCGGGCCCTTGAACTCCTCGAGATAGTCCTTGTCAGGGTACCATTTGTCAGCGTAGAGTCGCACGGAGCTCACCTGGACCGCCGACTGGGGCTGCTGGTGCAGCAGGTGATTTCTCACCGCGTGAGGGATGCGACCGAGATTTCGCAGTACCACTGCCACCATTTTTCGCACACGGTGTTGCGGACGGTGTGTCTCGATCCGTCTGCTGTTGCTGTTGCTGGATTCTCAACAACTCGCTGTACTTTGTTGTAGATTATGAACGTCAATTACAACATCACAAACACAAAATATCGATAAAGCGAACTTATACCCTCTCTGCAGAGCTGCTAATTGTCGCGGAAAGCAAAACAGATCCACGTCGTCTGCAGTGAAGTAAGACAGCTTTCGGTAGCCGAGTCTCGCGACACATGACGCTGAGCGTTACGAAAAGTCGAGCAACTTTTTAGTATCGTCTGCAGTTTATTGTGTTATTGTTATTATTATCATACGCGACGGCTGTAAAAATAAACGCGAGAGTCACAAAGTCGATTTCGATTCTCTCTTTTTTTCAATTACTCTCTCCTCACGCACGCAGCTGGTGGTGTCAATTTCGAACGCGTGCGATTGTTTATTTTGATATCATCATCGTCGTCGTCGTCGTGCGAGAGCCATATCGAGCGCGATACTATACATGTCATCCGTCATTGTCATTTATAACAACTTTTCAAAAAGATTATTAGAAGCAAGTATGTCAGTTTTGGACTCTACAGTAAGAATTAAACTTACCTATGTTTACCTATGAACCTATGATTTATACCTATGATGTTAATGAAATCAGAAACTTTTTTACAAGTACACAAGCAATTAAAAACTATTATTGAAGACATAAGATTATGAATAAACTCATAATTATAAATCGTAATTTGAATGTATGTAATTGGATTCAAGTACAAAAATGAAACTTTAGTACTTACGTTTCAAATGTATAAACATTGAAAACGATTCTAACAATAACCATTATGAGTTTTTTCAAGTCTACTGATAATATTCATAAAACTATAATAAAATTTTCATAAATAATTCTGAATTGAATGATAAGTGGATGACAGCACGCTAGTTAGCTATAGTATATGAAAAAAAACCGTAATTCTATAACTTTACTTGCCCGGCCGTCTAGATCGGAGCAATAGTCGCAAAGCGGAGAAAAGTCTGGAAAAATATTACCCTTGTGTATTTCGACAGATTATTGCCGTCTCTTTCCAATAGTGGTATCATCGAAATGCATAAGCGCAATACTTTTCCAACCCCACATGCACCGGACACGAGTAAAAAATTAAAATATGCCCCGCGCGAGCGCAGCTTCAATTTTATACAGTTATTAGAATAATTATGTGTTTCCAATTTTTTTGATATTCACTAATTTTTTTACCTTTGTTTCGAGCAGAAGCTTCAACGCTGTGCAACTCGTTTTCAAATTCAAATAATTTTTCTTCGGAACTCAGACTATATTTTGGTTGACTTTTGAATATAACACTTTATTTTAATTTAATTTTTTAATTTTCTTGACGCCCGGGGTGATTTATGTACAGTAATATCGCAACTTTCCGGTCAAAGTCATCGCCGAGTTCGGATCCCGACCTAGTGCGTCGAGCTGGCTACCCGGGACGATACTTGTGCAAAAACATCGCGACTTCCCGGAAACTGTCATCGCCGAGCCCGGATTTTGACCTAGTGCGCCGAGCGGGTTACGCGGAATGATATTTCCGCTGCAAAATCGCAGCTTCCTAGAGAAATATGCTCAGATCACCGCCTGATGCTCCGTGCGGTCATTCTGTAGGGTAATATTCTCGCGTAAAACCCGTAATTGCGTGGAGAAAGTCATTTTCGAGTTTCGAGTTCGACCTGGTGCCCCGACCGGGTTACCCAGGATAATTGCGAGAATCTTGATGTCGAGAGAAAAATCTACATGTATAGTTTAAAACTCATAGACATCAAATCGATGCGCAGCATCTATACATAGATACATTTAGCCTTATTAATCGATTAAATCGATGATATGAAGTTGGCCGGAAGACTACGTGAGACCGCGTGAGACCGTTTTTTTGTCGGGGATTTTTTCTTTTACGTCTGCCATAAATAATACTTGCCATTCGGAGCGCGGGAATATTAATTTTGCGTGAACTATTTTTGGATAAAATTTTTGGCTACAATTTTTAAGAACTTTATAAAAAAGTTTAGGAATTGCACTAGTTACAGTTTTGGGTGGTACCTATCTAGTTCTAATGTTCCTTTCATGGCCAAGAACTTATTCCCTAAAACTAGCCATAAAATATTGAACATTTCTACCAGACAGCAAATGAACTATTTATTGACGCCGTCTTCCACGCGTAATGTGTGCAATATATCTATTTATGGCATATTATATTTCTCGATTAGCGGTTAAATCGATGTTGTTTTTTTCAAAACTAATAAAATGAGTTACAACAAATTGGAAGATAATATCGGATCGCTTCCATTGAGTATCGATTAATTTACTCTTTCAAGACGCAGACAAGCAATTTATCCGACGTATTATCTCGCAAGGCGCGCGTAATACCACCCATAAGTATTTGTAATTGTTCAAAGTAAGATGGATGGGAAGCTGTGCTCGAAGAAAAGGAGAAAAAAACATCCAGTCCAAAAATGACGCATTGTTTACGAAGACATAACTCAATGCACTCGTCCGTAGTATACGAGCACCGGGACATATCGAACGGTTTTCGATAAAACGATATTACGATTCAATCGGGTACGTCGACCTTGCGAAATAATTCGTCAATCCAAACACGGCCTTTTTATGGCAATTAAATATTTTAACGGAAATACACGAGTGGGTGGCATCGTGAGAATAGTAATTCTGTTTATTGCTTTTCTAAAAAAAAAGGAAAAAAGCCATCAAAAGTTTATCATTTAGCCTCGTGGATAGATATAATCTAGATCGAAAGGAATAAATCGATATAAAAAAGCACGTCGCACGTGGATACGGCGTGACACATTATAATACAGCAAAATCTCGACATCTCCGATCGCAGCTGCCTCGTAATGGAGATTAAACTCTTAATGACGAGGCTGTCCAAAGCAATAAGTTATTGAAATAGAGCTGCAAAAGCCACCGTACCGATGATTGAATTTACATAAAGCCGGAGATATTTAGACGTACGGATCGATTAAAATATACGTTTATAATATTTATAACGTACACACGTGCAAACATGATCGTCGAGCTAGTTTATAACTGCAACGTCTGTATCTTGCGTCACGTACACTTTTCGCGCGCGAATTTAATTAAGTTCGCTGCCACCCGCTCGTCTATAAAATTTTATTTCATTATATTATATGGCTCTCGTGTGTTCTACGAAAATTGATCACTCGCGGCACAACAGCACAAAAAAAAGGAAGTTCGACCTCTGGGTCGATCGCGCTCCGAAAATTCGTCTATTGCTCAATTCCAGCAGGCTAGCAGCGAGCCATAATATTCTAAAAAGTAGTACTGGCACTATATACACGAGAGGGAATGCGCCGACCGTGTAAAAGATAATGCTCACGCGATAAGCCTCGGCATATATACCGAGAGTAGAGGCACGAACACATTCGACGGCAATAGTAGGCGCGCGCGCGGCCACTTATGTAAATTGATAATGCTGGTAACGCGCAAAAAATGCATTAATTTAGTACCTTTGATGATATCGAAATAGCCGCTCGCGCGACGTAGGACTGATTTTTTTTTTCTCTCAAAAATTAGGTAACCCCCAATGAGCACGTGCAGCGCAACGAAAATGTATCCTGTGCGACAGAATTAAAAAAAAGATAATAATAATAAAAGCAAAAAAGGCCCAGTCGTTGATTTATTTAAGTTAAACTCCCCGAGCTCTGAGCTCAGCTGCGACGACTATAGGCTTTACTACGACACACACACACGTATGCACACATCGATTCGATGTCTTATAGTGTGGTAATAGCGCAAATCGCGTAACTATATGAGCTTCGTAATTGCGATTAAATTACAAGCCATATAGTAATTATACATCTCTGTATATGTACACAAACGTGTATATACCATAGAAGCGACCGATCGTGCAAACAACTCTACTTTATGATCGCTTCTTTTATGCCGCGCGATGTCATATCGATGACTTTTTACGCTTTCTAATGTTTGTGAAATGCCGTGCGCGCGTTTCGTTAGTGTAGCGTATATATATGTGCATATGACGACTCGACCTGACATTATGGGCGCTATCGCGTTCGAAAAATATAGGCCCAATATATTAGGTTCGTTGTATATGACTGATCCTTCGTGAAATCGATTAAGATAAAAAATATCATTTTTAATTGACGTAATAAATATATTATGATTTGAAAATTTTTATGGTCGGTGCAGTAAGCTTGATTGATTTTCACTGTTTTCAAAACATGTTCAAATTTATTATTATGTAAATGGGTAATCAATAAAAATAATATAGCCTTCGAGTCAGCTAAAAAATGAAACATAAACTTTATTCAAACATACATGTGAATACCAAAATGAAAACTTACAGCATGTTTACTGACCATTAGAAGCAATCGTTTAGCATTGATTGTCAAGAAAATTACTATGCTAGGCATATCAATACATTTATTTTGGTACTGTAAGCCCATTTATTACTTTCAATTAGTTTTGATGCAATTTACATAATTTTCAAAAAAACTTTGAATACTCTATCAAATTTCACATTTATAACGATAAAAGAATTACATAAATACTTGAAAATTTGATTGATATTCAAATTTTTCGTGTCTACTTATACTATAGAATTATACGTAATTAGTTGCCAATGAATTAACTCTGTACTACGATTAACGCGATACAGTCCGTATGTACATATGCACGAAGCCGATAAGAGCTATGCAGTGAAAGCATAACGTGTACACAGGCACACACACACGCAGCTAAGACTGCTGCCACCACACGTAAGTTTCGCCAAGCAGTGTATCGGTTTCTTTCGACAGACCGGTGCAATCGAAAGTAAAAGTATGAGTGTAGGCTCTGTTGTTCCTTGCGCTATTGCCGCGGCTATCTGTGCGCTGAATCGACATATATTCGATGCCGTTGCGAGAAACAGCAAGTCCGAGTATCTTCCGCGCGTTCAATTGGCAACGTAAGATTTGCGCATCTAAATCATCTTCGAGTCTAGTTCCTGCACAAATTTTAAGTTTACCGGAATTACTTTCAAACGAAAATTTTCTTGTCGAGATTTTTCAATTAGTCTTCCGACAACATATACACTAGATCGTACAGATAAACATCGCACATTTTTGACACAATTAAAAATATACATTTTATACATTTACATTAAGCTACCGACTGATGCGCCACATCGACGTGGGCTTTGAGATTTTTTTTCTGTCCAAATACTTTTCCGCACTTATCACAAGAGTAAGTAGTTTTATTATGCACAGACTTTATGTGCCTTTTGAATGAGACCTTATAAATGAATGTCATTCCACACGTATCACAAGCATGTGTGATTTTACTATGAACCGAATCGACGTGAGATTTGAGAGTACACTTTTGGATGAAAGTCTTTTGGCACATATTGCATGCATATATGATTTCATGATGCTCCGAATCGATATGTTTTTTTAGTTCAATCTTCCACGAAAACTTTTTACCGCATGTATTACATGCATGTGTGACACCATTATGTACCCAATCGGTGTGGATTTTGAGATAACATTTTTGCTTGAATGTCTTCTTGCATATATTACACGTATGTGCGATACCACGGTGAGCCTTATCGATGTGATTTTTTAGTTCAATCTTCCACGAAAACTTTTTACCGCATGTATCGCATGCATGTCTGACACCATTATGTATTGAATCGATGTGGATTTTGAGATTATTCTTAGTTGAGTATTTCTTTTCGCATATTTTACATGCGTAGGTAACATTATTATGCACCTCATCGATGTGATTCTTGAGACTATCTTTTCTTGTGAATTTTTTTTGGCATACATCGCATGCATGTGTAATTTTATTATGCACCTCATCGATGTGGGTTTTGAGACTATACTTTGTTGTGAATGTCTTTTGGCATACATCGCATGCATGTGTAATTTTATTATGTGAATTTTGAGAGGCACTTGTCGAGCAAAAGACTTTCCACAAATATCACATGCATGTCTGACACGATTGTGTATGGAATCGATGTGGATTTTGAGATTACAGCGTTTGGTAAATATCTTTCCACATATATTACATGAAGGTTTGATACCATTATGCATCGCAACGATGTGGTTTTTGAGTTTCTGCTTATGGTTGAACTTTTTTGTAACTTTTTCCTTTTTCTCGTTCAGCTCACAATTAGTACTCAAGTTCATTTCTTTTTTCACTCTGCTCACAGATTGATAGTCGTTATTAATTTTCATAGCTGAATTTTCAGACAAATTTTCAATTTTCGTAATTGCTAATAAATCCATGTCAACCTTCATGTCTTTACATTCAAACTCGATCTTAACGTCGTCGAGTTTACTTTCTTGATTTTCGTTACATTGAAGTGTCTGCCATAAAATATCAAGTAATATAAAAGTTTTCATAAACGATATTTACTATATAAATCGCACAAAATTTGTTAACTCTTACCGAATGTGAAAATTTGACCTTGGGCGACTTGTCAATTATATTGTAGTCATTTTCGATGGGCCATGTTTCAATTGGTTCCTTTTTGATTCTGAAACAACCCCGAATAAATTAAGTATTATGAAGAAATATTTTTATACTTTCATTTTCACGTCAAAAATCACCTAACAGACGAGTCAAATAAACCACTAGAGTCCATCTTTCTCATTTCGAGTCTCACGAACGATTAATCTTTCTGTAATAATGTTACACGTCGAACCAACTAAATTTAGTTAAATAATATTTACAAATCTTAATTTGAAAATTTGAGCGAACAAATGTAAACATAATAATGTACCTAACGAAGAATTATCATTTTTCTATCAATGATATTTTTTTACGTAAAATTTAAAATTAAAAAAAAACATACCACTGAGCAAAAATTTGCTTCGAAAGAAAACGAAAATATTTAAAACTGTTTAGGAGATCTCATTGCCGATTTTTAAAAAGCACTTTGAAATATTGAAATATTTTTAAAATTTATTGAAGAAAGCATTTTTTTATTTTTAATCGTTTGACTCAACAAAAAATTCTTTTTTGATAGTTTTAAATTTATTTTCATTGATTCAAAATGATTAATCTTTTCTTTAGGAGATATTTTTGATTTTCAGCTGCATTACACGGAATTTCCTAGCAATGTTTTTTACGACAAATCTGTCTGAAAGAGTCAATGAAATCACCCAGAGCTGTTCATTCAATAATTCCCACCCACATGGCATCCGATGAAACAGCATCCAAAACTCGTAAATTTTTGAGATTGCATAAATTCGACGATCGGTTGCGAATGGCCGAAAAATTCGTGGATATATCTAGGCGCATAATACCGCGACCACAACGCATATAAGCGCCGCGTATCTCTTCATTTCGCTTGTCCCCGAAGTAATCCGTGTCAACGCGTATGCACGTCACAAACCCGCGGCTTGTCGCATTTGCTGCTCTTTTTTCTTCATTTTCGGCCTTGCCGCGTCCCATCGTCGTACGTATACGTGCTGTGCGGGGCTTTTATCTGGTAACGCGCGGTGCGTCGTTTTGATTAAATACTCGCGACAAGTCGAGCGCAAGAGGGCACCGATATATCTTATATTTTGGTAAATTATTTTGAATGTAGTGTAGATATTTTACTACCACCTGATATGCGTCAATGACTAATTGAATTTTAAACCTAATTTCACTTGTGGAATGCCAGTGATTGACGTATTTGAGTGAAACCAGAGATGTATTTCTTTTTTGCATGGATATTTCTCCGCGCATATGCAGCAGGTATGAGTTAGCCTGGATAAATGCCATTACAATTTCAGTGTAGTTTTAATGATACTCAAGTCCCTCTGTGGATTGCACCACATAATTGCGCGAAGCAAGTCGACGGTAGAAGGAGTAAAATCGTGAGATCACCTCACTAATGTACGAGTTATAGTTAGCATAGTCGCTGGCGAGGAGCTACATTCCTGAGTTAGTGTTTACAAATTTATGAAATCAAGATGTAGTGTTGATTACTCGAAGTGTATAACCTCAAATCTTTTCTTGATACTGATTGGGAAAATTCACAGTGATCACATTTCAAGCGAGTGCTGGAAAACGGCGGAGACATTGTTAGGTATGATTTTTTTCTGCATTTCATATTTTTTTTTTAGCGGTTGTTTCATCAAATTTCGTTATTCTCCAGGGTGAAAGAAGAACCGGACGATACATTGCCCGATGCAGGGGAACATCATATTTTCGATTCGCTAAACTCTTGCGAAACAAAAAACAATGAAGTATTGCCGTTCTCTGGATTATCAGTGAGTTCAATGATTTGAATTGTGTCCTATTCTTACACCATCAAAAACTATTGCATAATTTCAATTTCAGGCAAATCACACGAATGAGGTTATGGCGTTACAAGAAAAATTAGATGAAAAAATAAACATAGATTTTGAGTGCAAATATGTTATACCAAAATTAGAATCTTCATCAACAGTCGTCTGTAAACCCGAATATAAAAGTTACCTACCTATTGTGAAAGTAGAAAAAGAACTTCAGGCTAATCATTTAAATCACAAGGATCTTATAATTTTGATAAAAAAAGAGTTCGATTATGATAATAAGTGTATCAATCGCGACTAACATCCATCCGAGCTTGATTCATTTCACACAATACCGAAGAAAAAAAAATTCTCCACGCATATATAAGCTTACTAGGGGGGCTCCGCCCCCCTGCTCGCTCCGCTCGCCAACCCCCCGATTAAGTTTAACACTTGAATAAAAAAATAATGATATTTTTAGTAATAAAACGGTCAAGTATTTTATTGATGAAAAATTTAAAAAAAATAGTCTGTAGGAAAATACATTTTTGGCTATATTTATCTAGTCCGGGAGCGGCGGGCTACCTTCCCGTAGAAAACTGTAGGTGAATGGTTAAAATAAGGTGTTATCGATCAATTTTGACGCACGAATTTGGTGGTTAATTTTAGCTCTGAGTGGTACCATATCGTCAAAAATCCATTTGTTTAATTAAATTACCAAAATGGTCGAATATGGATCTTTTAACATCATGTTCGTGTTCTACCAAAAATTTTTTGAGAAAAATGTTCCTTGTGATTTTTCTCTAAAATGCATATTTATCGAGTTATAAGCCAATGAAAATGAGAAAAACGCTAATTTCGTGGTATTCGATTGCGTGTAATAACATGAAAAACAATATTTTCGATGATGTGAGTGCTTTTTATTATTCTTCGGACATCTCTATGCAAAGTCTTGTAGTTTTTTTTTCAAGATTTCTAAGGATTACCTAACGATAAATATGCATTTTAGAGAAAAATCACAAGGGACATTTTTTTCTTAAAAATTTTCTTAGAATACGAATATGATGTTTAAAAATCCATATTCGACCATTTTAGTAATTTTTTTAAACAAATGGGTTTTTAACCACATGGTACCACTTGCAGCCAACATTAATTACCAAATTTGGGTTCAGCGAGTCAAAATCCATCGATAACACCTTATTCTAATCATTTACCTATAGTGTCTTACGGGAAGGTAGCCCGCTCCTGGACTGATCGTATCACGACACGATTTTTTTTTGATTTCTTGGAAATTTTTTGTTGTTTATTATAAAAGTACCTATGTATAAAAGTACCTTTGTATTATTATACGTGATATACGTTATTGTTATAAAAATACCTGTCACATATCCGGTGGATTTACGGTGGAGCAGTGGAGGAGCAGTGGGGGAGCAGTGGGAGAGCAGTGGGAGAGCAGTGGGGGAGCAGTGGGGAGCAGTGGGGAGCAGTGGAATTTTTGGGGAGCAGTAATAATTTATACGGGGAAAAACACCAAAAATCATGTAAAAATCACGTGAATTTCACATTTTTGAAAAAATTGTGGGGGAGCAGGTGGAAATTTTGGGGAGCAAGCGAACCACATCCCCTCTACTATATAGTTATAAAGAAAGATATTCAAATTGACGTTGGGACACAATACTTGTCTGGTTGCCGAGTTAAAATGTATTCATAACTCGGTTTAAGCGCGCGCGCTGCTTGATTACAACGATGTTTCGAACAACATCGCGCGCAGCGAGTAATGGACGCGACGAAACTTTTATGCTCATCGTGATTTAATAGTGATGAAACTCGAATTACACCGCGCAATATCCATGCCAAAAATTATAAAATACAAAAAGCTCGCCTGGATGAGAAGGAGGAAAAATGAGAACAAAGCACGTGCTTGCGACGCGCTTCGTATCCCACCACAGCAGCAGCAGCTAAGCAGCAGCGTTATATTTTTCACAGAGAGAGAGAGAGAACTGCAGCCAGCTTCGCGCCTGCGCCGGGTTATTTCGGCGAAACGGCACACGTGCTTCGTTCGCTCTCGCCGTATAAAGTGCATCTCTGTATATCGCGTGTATACGTGTATAAAGCCGCATCAGCGCGCGACGATGTCTATATATATACGTATATATATAAGTCTGGCTTATACTGGTTGGCACAGCAGCAGCAGCAGGGGGTTGATGGCGCGAAGCGCGCGCGCGCACAAAGCTCGAAGCGAGCGTCGCTTCGTCGGAGGCATCGCAGTAGTTGCACGCTGGCCGCTGCCACGACAGGTTTAATGTATACACACACTTTCAACCCCACCATTTTTCAGTGAGGCTTTCGGAAAAAAGAAAGAAAGAAAATAAGAGGAGTAGCCGAGCGGAAGAAGGCCGAGGCAGCGGAGTCGACGGAGACGCCAGTACGTAATACCGATTTCATACCGATCTACCGATTGCCAAAATACGAACGGATCACCACCTGCGCACACGCTCACACATCACGCAGCTTTGAGGTTATGGCGACCGGTATCGAAGCTCGTCCTTCAATATCAAGACTCATGGATGCTGCCCTCTAGTTCGGTTAGTATCTCACTGATAATAGTAGAATAAACGATCCCCATTTCAAATTCATTCTCTTTTTAAACGCCTAATTTTACAAATCTTTTTTTTTTTATTTTTTCTAAAGCTTTAAGCGAGATTTAAGCGCGCGGCAGTCGGGGGTGGTGAAGGTGCAAAATTGTAAATAACCTAGCGTAGATTAGGAGATAATTGCTTACGAGCAAAGCGCCGCGCGGCTGGCTGAGCTTAAAACCAGACGACGACGACGACGACGAAGGTGAAAATTTATCCAAGCTCATGAAAGAGATTAAGCGCTGGGGCTGCTCTTGACCCGATGGATCTATTAGAAATACCTTAGTCGCTTCGTCGAAATCTGCCTTGTTTCTTTTTTTTTCTTTTCTACTTTACTCTTCTGATGTGCGTGTTAATCTCGTTGACCTGATACCTATTATTGCACTCGAAATAAAAGTCTCGCGCGCGCAAGCACAGACCTTGTGTGTGTGTGTCTGTTGGCTGTAATATAAATACGAGAGAAAAAGAGACGGAGGTATTGATAGCGTAAGGAAAGAAAATAAAGGGTTCAAAATAACTTCGTGCAGTATCAGTTCCAAACAACGAAGCGAGCAGAGAGTTCACAATAAAAAGAGGGTTGAAGAGAGAGCTTATAGCGCCGGGGCCGATGAACGCGCGCGCGCGCACAGCCGAGAGAGGGAATTTCGACGATTTTTTGCTTTTTTACTGTCTTTTTTTTTGCTATTCTGCTCGTTGACCGTCGTCGAGCGAGTATCTATAGGTTTATTAAACAAACTCGTTGGCCCTCGGATGAGAGCGCGCGCGGCAGGAATGAGCCAAGGTAAGAGGCGCCTGCCGCGCTGCAGCGAGCTGATGAAGAAAAATGAAAAATTTCTTACCGGCTAATTGCAAATTACGTAAGATAAAAGAGTTTTGAGCCGTTGGGCGCGCGAAACAATAACAAGAAGAAGAAGAAGAAAAAAAGTACGTATAAAACTGCACCGGGGCTACTGCGTGACGACGAGGTGGCGGTGGTGGTAGCTCGGCGCGACATTAACCATCAGCGGTAGCAAATTATCTCTTCTCCTCTAACGCGCGGCTCGAGAGAGAGAGAGAGACGTTTTATATATATAATATACCTGTGCATAAATCGGGAGAAAATTTTTACCCTCATTATTTCATGGCTAAGCTCTTCTTCTTATATACACGTATAATACACGCGTTCGCGAAGAGAAGACTACACCTATATATACATGTACGTGTGTGTAGGTGTATGTGTGTAATAGCTAGAGATAAAACATTTTTTTCCAAGGGAGTTGGCGATTTGAAAAGGCCTTGCGCTGGCTCTCTGGCGCGGTGCACAGGTTAATTGAGCTCGTACATAACTGAAACCCGGAGCATACACGCATACGACGACGACGACGACGACGACGACGGTGACTATATGACGCGCGAGCTTGTGCGGGGAGGGTCGATGACTCTCGCTCGCTCTCGTTTTTTTCTCTCTCCACTACCTCTTCCGCAGTGCAGTGAAGGCAGCAGCAGCAGGCACGGCACACACTTCACCTTTTCATCAAGCGTAAAGATGTATCAAGAAGCTTCGAGCTGTGCATCATCGCCCTTTTTCCTCTCTCTCTGTCTCGATTCCCGTCCGGCTTATACCTTGAATATACTCCGTATAGTATAGTATATGTAATACTTATGATTGATAAAAATTTGATTTTCATGCGCAAAAGTTTTCTATGACCCAGATCTATCCCGGCTATCCTCTCCATCCCTATATACAGTATCGCCGCCGCCGCCGCTGCTGCTGCACATTAAGCCATCGGTATAAGTATATACGGGTATTGACTATATCAAGTCGATATTACTGTCGCCGCCGACGTCGTTCCGCGATCGTTCAAAAAGTTGTTTTTCAAGAGCTTCGTCTTGCTCACTTTCTCCGATCCATCATCCCCCTTTCGATACTCGCCTATAGGCGCTGGGCTCCTCCGTCGTCGTCGCGACTTCTTGAGTAATAATACTTCTCCACTTAGGATTCGCGGTGTAGTCTCTCTCTATACGGAGCCCTTTTATTTCATTCGCCTATATACAGAGCGCGGCAAAATGAGCTTCGCGAAACGGCGGCGGAAAATAATGCTCCCCCGCGAACGTTTCGATGTAGTATTATGTAGTATATAGTGCAAAACTGTGCTGCTGCTTCAGCAGCAGTGGCGGGTCACGAGCGCGCGCCGCAAATGACCAATGCCAACGCGCCAAGCGTACGTCCGACAGCCGCCAATATTATGACACACACATACACAGCGGCACACGTTGTCCCGCATTCATTCGACGGTGTAAAGTCATCCGAGCATCCGCGGGGGCTGGGGTAAATACAAAAGCATTTCGCGGTATAATTTCGACATTTTCTCCCGAAGCTTTTACCGCGAGCTCCGTGGGAAAATGTGGCAGCACGCGAGCATCGTCATGAGCTTTTATGTCCTTGCAATCGCGACAAATCTGACAAATGTACAAGTTTTTTTTTTTTTGATTTTTTGATATTTTTGTTTTCGTTCGAATCTAGGTCGATGCAGACTCGCGCTCAGCTGGCCAAACAGATGCAAGGGACGACGACGAGGCGACGCTCTGAATCGCGGGCGGCATCATCCGGTGCTACCTCTCCGCAGCTGAAGGAGCGGAGGAGGACGACTACGACCAGGAACACCAATACTTCAGCGGGCTCGAAGCAGCTCTGGTCTTCGAGATGAGCTATGAAGGAAAAGTCGCGCTTGTTTCTGGCCTGCCTGCTGGTGCTCGCCTTTCATACGCATCTGTCGCCGCGGCGAAGCGGCGAAGAAGCCGTCGCCGCCACTGGCGCCCTGGCGCTTCCACCGGTCATCAAAATTGGTACGTTGAAAACTCGCTTTCTTTCACAATGGAATATAATAAAACTCTACAGGCTGCTTGAAAAAAAGTTAAATCTCTCTACAAACATGACGACGAGGGAGGATGGGTTATTCACTTTTTAACGGTGAAATACTCGCGCGTTATCTCAGCCTCTGCCATTCTCTCTAGCATGGCTCTTTCTTTGCATGTGTGTGTGTGTGTGTGTGTGTGTGTGTGTGTGTGTGTGTGTGTGTGTGTGTGTGTTTGCAGCATGATTCGAGCTAATCCCAGGCAGCAGCAGCAGCAAGCACAGATATTTCGGAGGCACGAGGCAGGAAAACGTTTACGGTTATCCTTCTCTCTCTCCGCTCTCCTCGTATCTGCACACGCATACGTTCCATTTCCGGAGCAAGCGCGCGACACATTTCGCTCTTTAAGCGTTATATATATACATGTACGTACTGTACGTATGTGTGTATAGGTAGCAGCGCGTCTAGGTAGTTGCGCTGCGCGCGATTTACCGAAGAGCCAACCATCCGACCGACCGACTCTCTCCTGTATACCTACCTATAATTTCGTTCGATGCACTGCTGCAGCGCCGGTGTCACGACGCCTGATTAGCGTCGCCTGCTATGATGGATATTGCAATTAAGCGACCAAGCTCTGAAAATCTAATAACACTCCGAAATCTCGTTTTCTTTTTCGCGGCGGTGCGGTCTTTTCTTTTACTTTTTTTTTTCAATCGCGGTAAAGTTCAACCGCGTAATAACTCGATCGTTGGTTTTTTGTATTATATATGCCGCGATATTCCACGCGCAGTTTATATTTTATGTAAGCTACTTCATTATCGAGACGTTATAAACGCCATCGCGTTTAAATCATCTTCTCGCATACATTAACGATAATATATTTATATGTTGTACTCTTTCGACTCGCCTGCATGAATAAGAATTTATTACATGTATATTTATAATGACGTAATGCATGCCCATGTGCACCAACACACAGACACTATTTACACCTACTTACAGACCGATGTATTATATGTAGCGAGTACAGATAAGTGAGTTACGTAAATTTTATATACAATTGTGTGTACGTATATAATATGTCCGAGAGTCAAAATGACATAATACATAATAGCGTATGAATAAGCGCGCGACTGATCTGGTTATCTGCGATACCTTTTTTACATACGCGAGCTTCGAGTCTCCGATATTACTTTCCTTTAGCGGATTTTCCGTCGTCGTCGTCGTCGTCTTGTACCTCGAATGCGGGTCAATGGACTTTTTATACGATATAAATCTGCTGGGGCAAAAAATTTGTTTAATTATAAGCTGTGTTAAACTTTCGTATATCATTTAGGGACTGTATTTTAATCCTGTTAATCAAATGCGACTGAGACGGCAAACAGTTGAGTTTGATTTTTTCATAAATCAATTATTAAAATCCGATTGACGACTTTCGAAGAGCTGTATCTTCATTTCGGTAAATTCGAAACGAATGATCCGACAGTTTTATCGATTTTAGATAATGCGATGTAAATCAATATTGAAGTTGGAAAACTCTATTCCAGAAGTCCTGACATCATAAATCATATCGAGTACAACTTCCAGTATTTTCTTCATAATATAAAACTCGTCATACCGAAGTTTAATTTTAAAAAATAATGACATCGTTCCATTCTTAAACGAATATCAACTATGAAAAAGATCTGATCTAAGGTTACTTCTTACTTTCTAATTGAATAGAATTGAATTTGATTTGAAATATAAAATCAAATAACATTCGTCTTCCGATGTAATTTCGATGTAACTAATTTTTCTCTTACTTTTATTTATTTATTTGAAAGTGAATTTTGTTCAGGAAAAAAAGGAAGTGACTTCAGATAGAAAATCCAAGTGAAGGAAGTTCAATCGGTTACAGGATCCAAGAAAGTTTCTACCTTTTTTTTTGCCGTCTTCTTGCTCGTAGACTAACCGACTGTTGCATCCCAAACTTATCTCAGAAAGTTTACACATTTTATTTCTTTTATTTAATAATACTTATACATTGACAACATGTAGGTAATAAATAATAACAATACTTTTTATGGCTGATAAAACCGTCAAAACTTACTTTCGAACAATTAGTAATTATTACTTACAATTTAAAAACTTTTCTAGTTCTTTTTAGTAAAGATTCTATAGGCGGAACCTTACTTTAGTGCAATTTGTAAAAGCTGTACCGAACAATGCTGCGAGTGGCAAGAGCGTTGTACATTATTTTATATCACTGCTCTTCATACTTATGATACCTGTTCGGTGATATGAATACCTTATAATGTATGCAACGGAGTTTTATAATGTACTATTTATGGCACGAAAAAAATTACCATAAGTGTAAATCTATGCACGCCTGCAGTATGAGACGATATAAAATCGCAAAAATTGGGTACTAGAAAAATAATAAAAGGCAAAATATGTAGGTTACTTTAACGCGAAAAAGGGGGAAAAAAGTAAGTGCGAGTCGTCATTCGACAGTGCGGCGCCGTGCAGGCTATTTTCGCAAAGCTTGAGATGTTACATGATACGAGCCATCTACCGCTTGTCACTGTCGGACTCAAAATACACCATTTTATGACAAGAGTGAAAATCATTAAACATAAAGCACATGCCGATAATCCACGTCGGAAGAAGTAAATATTAGATGAAGGTGAATGACTGCGTGAGATAATTGAAAACCCTGTTACAACAATTTCAATAGGATTACGAATAATGCATTTATTGACCGAAATATCAATAAAATATATCATCATTAATACATTTTGAATTTTTTAAAAATATTTTTGAAGAATCGAATTACATTACCAACCACTTTATTAAAAAATCTAACAATTTTGTCTTTGAAGGTTTCTTTTGATTCATTTTCACCAGAACGTGTGTCGGTATTGGCATCAGAATTAACAATGATTATATTTTCTTTAATCTTCGTCGATAATGAATTGTCATTTGCTTGCCGATTCCCAGTTAAGTTAGGTGATTCAAGATTCACCTTACCACTGCTATTTAATTTAACAGGCGATCCAGTTTTCATAGATAAATCAATTGGACTCGAACCATCGCTCGGTTTCGCTATTGTGGATCCAATTCTATTACCATTAACCTGTAGATTACCAGATACATCAGGGACTTTAGGATTCACCTTATCGAAGCCGTTCAAGTTAATATTAGACCCAACACGGATAGATAAATCGACTGGACTCGATGAATCTCTCGATTTTCCAATTCCAAATCCTACAGAATTTCCATTGAACTGTAAGTTGCCTCCAATGTTGGGAGCTACGATATTCTCTTTGCCAATACCGTTCAATGTACTACCAGCTTCTGCATTAATAGTTGAATCCACTGATTTTATTGCATCTCTTGCATTTCCAATTTTGGATCCGACAAGACTTCCATTGAACTGTAAATTTTCTCCGAGGTTGTGTGCTATGAAGTCCACGTTTCCATTTCCATTTAGTTGAACCGAGGATCCTGCATTGATTGATGGATCTACTGGGTTCAATGAGCTTCTTGGATTAACAATTTCGGTTTGAGGAGATTTTTCACTAAACTGTACATTACCAGCAGCGTTTGGAGTTGGATACACCTTGCCATTTCGGTCTAGTTTGATCGAAGATCCTGGATTGAGTGGAAAATCTACTGGGTTCAATGCGTCTCTTGGATAAGTAATTACGGATCCAACTGGATTCCCATTGAACTGTAAATTCTCTCTAATGTTTGGAGTCATGGGATCCACGTTACCGTTTAATTTAATCGAAGATCCTTCATTGATTGATGAACCCACTGGGTTTAATGCGCTTTTTGGATTACCAATTCCCCATCCTACGGGATTTCCGTTAAACTGAAGGTTTCCTCCAAGGTTGGGAGCTGTGAGATCCACGTTACCATTTTCATTTAATTTGATCGCAGATCCTGCATTGATTGATGGATCTACTGGATTCAATGCAATCTGCGGGTAGCTAATTTCCGATCCTACGGGATTTCTGTTAAACTGCACATTTCCTCCAAAGTTAGGAGCTATGGGATCAATGTTACCATTTTCTTTTACATGAACAGAGGATCCGGCATTGATTGATGTATCTAATGGATTCAATGCAATCTTCGGGTTGCTGATTTCCGATCCTACGGGATTTCTGTTAAACTGTAGATTTCCTCCAAGGTTGGGAGCTGTGGGATTCATGTTACCATTTCCATTTAATTTAATCGAAGATCCTGCATTAATTGTTGAATCTATTGGATTCAATGCAATCTGCGGGTTGCCGATTTCCGATCCTACGGGATTTCCGTTAAACTGTAGGTTTCCTCCAAGGTTGGGAGCTGTGGGATTCATGTTACCATTTCCATTTACATGAACAGAGGATCCGGCATTGATTGATGTATCTAATGGATTCAATGCAATCTTCGGGTTGCTGATTTCCGATCCTACGGGATTTCTGTTAAACTGTAGATTTCCTCCAAGGTTGGGAGCTGTGGGATTCATGTTACCATTTCCATTTAATTTAATCGAAGATCCTGCATTGATTGTTGAATCTATTGGATTCAATGCAATCTGCGGGTTGCCGACTTCCGATCCTACGGGATTTCCGTTAAACTGTAGGTTTCCTCCAAGGTTGGGAGCTGTGGGATTCATGTTACCATTTCCATTTACATTAACAGAGGATCCTGCATGTATAGATGAATCTACTGGACTCGAGGTTTCTTTTGGATTTCCATTCTCTTGCAAGTTTCCGGTCGTTCCTAACTTATTTTCATTCTTCACATTATTCTTGATACCGCAGAATTTTGTTATATGATCAGGCACACTTCGGCTTTCTGTGTTATAATCTTCAAGAATTAGTTGACACAGCCATTGTGATTGTGTACCAATGTTAGTGTAAACGTCTGGTTTTGAGCCTTCAAGGCATTTTTTATCTCCAAAGCTAAAAAGGCCTAGTAAACATTGATCGTTGCTTCGGATCAATGGTAGGCCTGAATCAGTCTATTGAGTAAAACGTAAATAAATATGTTAAAAAAATATTGATATATTGAAAGAATTTATTTTCATACTTACTATACATTCACTGTCATTAAAGAAATTAATCATTTTCGTGCATATTGTCCCATAAGCTATATTTCTATCTTGCCACAATTCTTTACATCGCTCATGCTGTACAAGTTGCACATTTGCACTTATTACTTTTGGAATGTTGTAATCATTCTGCATGAACACAGTATATTAATATCAGCGATCGGGTTATTTTAATATGTATTAAAATTCGTTTTCTTACCTGATATTTGCTTTCTGATTTTTTATTTCCGATAACTTCAAGACCATCATTTATTTCAGGTAGATCAACCGCAAGGCATTCGATAGGCCTAATTTTATCGTTAACAGGGATTGAATTATATAGTCGAACTAGCGCAATGTCATTGGCGTGGGTTGAATTCTATGAACAATCACAAATAAATCAATAAAGCACGCGAAGCAAAAGATGCAGCGTAACTTACATTGTAATTCTCGTGAATCGTATACTCGTTAACTACATAAGTCAATTTATACTCGTCACTCGAAACGCCAACGATCACTTCTAACGTATAGTTCAACAAATTTTTCTTAGCTTCTGCAACGCTGCAAAAATATTTATTTTCAACTTTACAATTGCAATAATTATTCACGCGTCGATACTTACTAGCTATAACAGTCCGCAGACGTGATCAGATGCTGATCGTCTATTATTGTCGCTCCGCAGAAATGATGCGTCCGGTCGTAATTGACACTCAAATAAGCTAGATAAGGATGCGCCACTTTTTCGGTCAAAGCACTGGAAACTACGATCGAGAGAATAAAAACAACGTAAATCATCGTTCTTCTCTCCGAACGCAACATTCGTCGAATAAAAAAAACAATTACTGTTTAAGATGAGCATCTTCGCTTCTCTTTTATATTAAAAAAATTATGAAGCTCGTGCATACCATCAAAAATGAAACACGTGTACGTAAGTACTGAATGTTTATTAAAAGAAAAAATAAACAATACCTCTAGTGTTTATACGTATTTATTCTCTGAATTTGATATGCACGTGTTGCACCGATTCTCAGCTGTTCTACGTCATCGTCATCGTAATTTCATTCATAAAACTAAATTCTCTTTCGGCAAATTAATCGCATATTTTCGTCAATTTTCCAACGAAAGCTCGACATTATACCGCGTTATATAACCGCATTACCTAACTGCAGCAGCAGCAGCAGCAGTGATTCGTGACAGTGAAATTTTCGTTGTATACACATACGCGTAGTATCGCGAGAGGCACGTACTCGTTTTAACACGAAGCATGTGCGGCTCTATATACACACAATGCACCGAATATCCACACGTACGCGTATATATATATTTATCAAAGCTCGAGCCAGGATAAGTGGGCAAGTATATAGTGTAGCGGGCCACTCAATACGTAACTATATCTCGAGCGCATTTTTTTTCTCTCTTTATTTTTCTTTCTTCGCGCGCGCGAGACGTACATAACAATGTAGTTTTCTTTTTTCTCCGCGTGTACATGCACACACAAGCAAACAAATACACACACACACGTGGAGGCACAAGGAATGTGTACTAGCCAGTAGTAAATCAGTATTAGCTCGAAAGTCCATCGTCACGTTTTTCGTCCGGAGCTTGTATCATACTTATTCGTCCGCGCGCGCGCGTGCTAGATAATATACTCTTTATCTCTCTCTCTCTCGTCGAGCGCAAAAAGACGTATGGGGGCCAGGGCCTCATAAATTTTCTCTCGCAACAATCGTAAAATAAAAAAAAATTTTCTCTTTCTCGAACATTTTCATTATATCTTTCTTCGCCCGTACCTATAGTGTTATGTTATATACACGTCACGCGTGCGCGTGCAACAATATAACTCGCGAGAGAACAAGCGCAGAGAGCAGAGCAGAGAGCTTCAAACACGCAGTTCAAATGTCGAGAGAGATTTTAAATATTCATGCTTTCGATTTGCTGGCAAACGACGAGCGAGTAAGAGAGAGAGAGAGTGACAGAAAGGAAGCAACAATCTGTGAAAAGACGTCGCGTACGTCGTTCATTTTTCGGAAAAGAAGGGCGCGCGCGAAAGCCTCTCTCTCCCTTACTTTTATGGTGGCCAGACTGCCTGCGCCTCACGGAATCACAAGTAGTAGCGATAAAACTTTAGTCTCTACATCTTTGCGCGAGAGAGAGAGAGAGGGTGCGAGTAGAAGAAGAAGAAGGAGAGAGAGAGAGAGAGAGAAAGTGGAAAAGAAGTAGGAGGAAGAGCGCAGAGCTCGACACACATTTCCACGGGCGCGCGAGCGACGCGACGCATTATGAAGTCTAAGACGAAGTAAAAATTCACTTCTTTTCGCGACGCGACGACCTCTGGGCTGCTACTCTTGTCACGCACCCGCTCGTACTTTTAATAACAAAACGCCCACGTCGTATTCGCTTTTATAGAGAAATATAATAATTTATATATACTATTGTATACATTTATAGCAGCGGTATAATGGATAGAGATAGGCATGAGGCAGAAGGTTTATAATATATACGGGGGAAAGTATAGCAGCAGCAGCAAAGGTAGGAGTGGGAGGAGGGGGTAAGATGTGTAATGAGAGAAGGCTAGTAATGCGATTATACTCGAGGGCTTCCCAAGCTTTAACGATTCCCCTCTGGACCCATTATACATGTGTCGATATGTCCCGCGCCGGCCTGTGTGCTCGCGTTGTTTCCGGCGACTTCCTCTCTCTCTCTCTCTCTCTATGCCATGCATATGCTTCGTACACATTTATAAATATCCATTATACGACTCGACAAATATATATGATGAACTTTGGGGGTGACGTCGTGGGAGGGGTAGAAAAGAGTGACAAGTCGATAAACCCAGGGAGATTATTGAATTTACGCTTGTTAGGCTCTTATATACAGCTCTGCACACGTGCTCGGGGAAACGCGATAAAGGTGGAACGAGAGACCTTTCTCTGCTGCTGCTATACACAAGCCCCAAATCGTCCCCTGACGATTTAAGCAATTTTCGCCTCGGAGTGGCAGCATCTTGTGTGTCATGCACCGAGGCGTTTACGCGACGAGACGTGCAACAACAACGTTATATTGTATGCCCGCTAGACGCGACGCGACATGACACTACACACACGCGCGTTTATAATCACGCAATATCTGATTATTGACCTCTTCATCTTCGTCTATCTATCTCCGCTGCGCATACGGCAGCAAACGTATATAAACGTGTGCGCGGGTATCCGCCGAGAGAGTCCGCAGATATGCGCGAGGGAAATTACGATCGCTGCGCAAGGCCAGACTAATCGAATGTGGAACACGGCCGTAAGAAGTGATCTAATTAAGCTCTGTCTCTCTGGAACGACTCGAGCGCTGCGCTTATTGTGTTTAGGGGCCGAATTGCACCTCGGGTTTCGATTGTCTCTTGGCCCTAGTGATACACATATTTTCGGGCATTTTACCGGATAATCACATTGACTGATTTTTGATACTACCAACGCAACGATGATCTTGAGCGATATTTAAACGGCTAAGCGAGGGAGCTTGAGTTCGTTTAAAAGTTATGATTACTCTCGAGCTCGAATAATTCACAACATTCCCTGAATTCCGTTTATAGCTCGGTCGCAACGAAAAAAATCTTGAATGTATCCGTGCGGAAGCCGTAGTAGGTGAGAATCGAACCCGCGCACGTTTATTGGTGCGTAAGGGGATTGAATTTTACGCGGCACTAACCGGAGCTTGGTCAAGGGGAAGGGCTCGATCGTGCTTGAAAGACGCCGTTCTCCTCCGACGCTGCGCCAGTCGACACCCGCGGCTGCTTCGGATCAATTGACTGGATGTTTTCGTGGCTCTCGAATTCGACTACGCGTCTCGATGACTGCAATTTGCAAGTTTGATTTATACATGAAAATCGTAGTCGAGTGGTTAACTCGAATTTTTTCCCCTTAGAAAAGTCATGATCTGATCGTGTCATCGCGATAAATGCGTTTATCTAATTGATCGCTGAAACAGGTATGAAGTCGACGTATCTAAATTGAGTGCAAATTTTTAAATTCATAGCAACATGATAGCTTTTGAGTTTGAGCATTTGAGCTTTAAGGAGATATTGTTTTTACCTCGTAGATACAAAAACTCGATTAAATTTTAGCGAGGTAATCACTCCTGTTGTTGGTTACACTTATGCCTTTTGTATAAGGTTTAAATTTGCATTCTTGCATAGGAGGATATCAAAAGAATGTAATATGCGAATATATCAAACATTTACTTACAGAAGCTGAATCGTCACTACTTGTAGAGCTTTTCTATCAATGATTTTAGTTGTTCAATCATCTGCATGTATGGATATAAATTAAAAGGGCCAACGTGCGAAATTTAAGAATCAATCTGGCTTCAGGGCAATGCTTTTTTCTTCTTGCATACTAATAGAGAGCAGATACTTGAGGAAAGATTTAATTAATAATAGGAACCTTGAAAGACATAACTGCAACAGCAATACTTTGAGGAATATATTTAAAATTAAACTATGCGTCAATATTAGCTTATATACGATGATAGTTAAAACTAAAGAAATAAGATTTTAAAACATTTTATTATTTTTCACAAAGTTAAAAGATATTTATTGAAAATTTTCCAAAACTACGTAGTAAGTACGTAGTAAGTACGTAGTAAGTAACCCAAGTGTATAGAAGTTTTCATTGCGACCAAATGTCTGCCGAAAATTCTAATACTCTTAGGGTTTTCTACGATCATGTACTGTGTTTATGTGAATTTTGAGGTCAGATTTTCGTCCAAATGATTTCCGACAAATGTCACATTCAAAGGGTTTAATCCGATTACGTACTGCATTTATATGATTCTTGAGGGTACTTTGGCATACAAATAATTTGTGACAAATATCACATTCAAAGGGTCTGATCCAATCATGTACTGCATTTATGTGCTTTTTAAGATAACCACTGTATCCAAATGATTTCTGACAAATTTCACATTCAAAGGGTTTACTCCGACTATGTACTCCGTTTACGTGAAGTTTGAGACGACTTTGGTATCCAAATAATTTGTGACAAATTTCACATTCGAAGGGTTTACTCCGATCATGAACAGTACTTGTATGTTTATTGAGGTTACATTTATCTCCAAATGATTTGTGACAAATTTCACATTCAAAGGGTCTGATCCAATCATGTACTGCGATTTTGTGCCTGTCAAAATTACTTTTTTGTCCAAATAATTTGTGGCAAATGTTACATTCAAAAGGTTTGCTCCGATCATGAACACTACTTGTATGTTTATTGAGGTCACTCTTTTGCCCAAATGATTTGTGACAAATGTCACACTCGAAGCGTTTTTTCCCATCATGAACTGTACTTATGTGTTGCTTGAGGTTACTTTTATATCCAAATGATTTGTGACAAATTTCACACTCGAACCGTTTTTTCCCACCATGAACTGTACTTATGTGTTGCTTAAGGTTACTTTTATATCCAAATGATTTTTGACAAATTTCACATTCAAAAGGTTTGCTACCACTTTGAACTGTAATTATGTCTCTTGAGCTCCAGTTTGCGGCGAAATGATTTTTGAGGAATGCCATGTTCAAAGCTAACATTCTTACTTGCCGAATCGATATTTATGTTCAAACTCGATTCCCCTTTATAAATTTTTTGACTCACTTTACAGTCGCGAAATAATCTGTTTGGAGTAACTTTTCGAAATATTCCAACCTCATTATATTTTTCAATTTGCAGTTGGGAATTAACGTGAAATGTACACTTATTATCGTAATCGAACTCTTTTTTTATCAAAATTATAAATATCTTTATGATTTAAATGATTAGCCTTAAATTCTTTTTCCACTTTCACAATAGGTAGACAACTTTTATATTCGGGTTTGCAGACGACTGCTGATGAAGATTCTAGTTTTGGTATAACATATTTGCACTCAAAATCTATGTCTATTTTTTCATCTAACTTTTCTTGTAACGCAATAACCTCATTCGTGTGATTTGCCTGAAATTGAAATTATGCAATAGTTTTTGATGGTGGAAGAATAGGACACAAATCAAATCATTGAACTCACTGATAATCCAGAAAACGGCAATACTTCATTGTTTTTTGTTTTGCAAGAGTTTAGCGAATCGAAAATATAATCTTCCCCTCCATCCGGCAAAGTATCGTGCAGTTCTTCTTTCACCCTGGAGAATAACCAAATTTGATGAAATAACCGCTTAAAAAAATATTATGAAATGCAGAAAAAAATCATACCTAACAATGTCTCCGCCATTTTCCATTACTCGCTTGAAATGTGATCACTGTGAATTTTCCCAATCAGTATCAAGAAAAGATTTGAGGTTATAAACTTCGAGTAGCCAACACTACACCTTGATTTCATAAATTTGTAAACACTGACTCAGGAATGTAGCCCCTCGCCAGTGACTATGCGAATTATACTCACACATTAGTGAAATGATCTCACGGTTGGGCGATTTTCTCCCCTCTACCGTCGACTTGCTTTACGCAATTATCTACTGCGATACGCAGAGGGACTCGCGTATCATTAAAAATGCAAGGAAATTGTAACCCACATAGCATGAACGCTTTCCAGAATCTTACAGAAAGCTTTCAGAAAAGTTTAGAGAGCTTCCAAAATACTTTCTTGAAAGCTTTCTGTAAGTACGAAATGTCTTCGACAAACCGGTCGCAAACAGGTTGCATGAAAGCTTCCCAAACCCTGGGACGAAGACTTTCAAGAAGCTTTTCTGAAAGATTAGAGAAAGTTTACATTTAAGGTTTCAAAAAAGTTTTTAAACAGCTTCCAGAAAGTTAAATAGCAAGCTTTCAAAAAAGTTTTTAAACAGCTTCCAGAAAGTTAAATAGCAAGCTTTCAAAAAAGTGTCTAAACAGCTTGTAGAAAGTTAAATAGAAAGCTTTCAAAACAGTTTCTAAACAGCTTGTAGAAAGTTAAATAGCAAGCTTTCAAAACCTTTTCAAAAACCTTTCAGAAACCTTTCAGAAAGTTTCCAAAAACCTATCAGAAATGTTTCAAAGTCACATTTCAGAAAAAATTTCAAAAAAATTTCATCGTAATATTTCACACATTTACCAATTTCCTCCCATTCGTATTGACTGAAATATTACGTTGGACCCTTTTTGTAATATTTCATGTAGATTAATTTCGAAACATTTCTGAAAGGTTTCTGAAAGGTTTTTGCTAGGTTTTGATATTAATTCGAGATCATTAAATTAATTATTAATATATTATTATTCTGATGGTAATATATATGTGTTAGAATTATGTAAGAATTTATATCAGATTATAGAGACGCTGAAAGTAGAGAAAAAAGTTTATTATTATTTTGCCGGTCTCGGGGCTCGAACCTGGATCCTTCCGCATGAACACGAGCCCGCTCGCGTATATATATCGACAAATGTACATGGGCGGCACAACAAATGTATATAGCCATCGTCCCGGGCCACGGTATCGTCGCGTTACACGAAAATCTTCGAGTAGGCGATTCAACAACTATTTATTCGTCTTACGATCACTAAGCTCGCACTAAATTCCAGTAAACTGCAGTACAGCTACAAA